GCGAATAGGTTGATGGTTTGAGTACAGGTAGTGTTGACTCGATGACTAGTAGTAGTAAGGACTACTACTACTAGTACTCGTAAAGTAGAGTAGTACTACAGTAGTAAAGTAGAGATTCTCATTGTCACAGTAGAGAGATAGAGATACTTACATATTTGCTACTGTACATAGATTCCTTGTCCGGCATGCTATACTATACGAGTACCGTGACATATACATCTATTTACTCTACTGTGTGGAATCTTACTACGAGTATGCAGCGCCAGTCTTATCTTCCTTGTGTACACAATAATGCTTCCATAATGATAGCTTTCATGACCATGTTAACCGATTCCAAACTAATTGTTCGTGAGAGGAAAATCGCGCATAGTCAAGCCGAGAGCAGCTGGGCCGCACTCGGCAAGCTAGTATGAGTCGTACCGATAACTCGGCAGAGGTGCCGTGCTACAGTGTACTCACCACGGTATTTGCAGTAATGATGGTAAATGATGGTAAAATACGGTAATCGTGTGTATCAACCATAGTATCACTTCCCCCCCCAGCAACCAGGTACGCGACCAGCAAAGCTCTGGTGGAACTTCATCAACACGGACCCAAGCCATTCCTCTTTCAGATTTTATTTCTTTATTTTTTCGTTTTCAATTTTTTCCAATTTTTCCTCTCCAATTTCAGATTTTTCTTTTTCTTTTCAATTTTTTAGTATTTCCCTCACAGTCACAGGGAATCCACATCTCCACCCACTCCGGCTCTCTCTCTGCTTTTTCGCTGGTCCGCCCCCCCCCCGTATTATAAAGTCCCATTCCCTCTCGCTCACCCACCTTTCCTTTCTCTCTTTTTTTTCATAGGATTATTCCGTCTCGTTCGGTACCTAGTCATTGAAGTGTTTGTCTTCCTGGCTTGTGAGCCGCAACAATTACAACAATGGCGACAAACGTGACAAGCTCGAGCGAGCGGAGGATCTCCTATGCTGTTGATGTCGAGAATGGAGAGCGCCACACCAAGGAGGCTACTGAGGCCGGTGACGGAGGTGCCACTCTCGATGAGTACTCTGCTCTGAACCGCTACATCTCCACCGCTCGCGATGGTCGTCGTGGTTCTACCTCTTCTGCCGGTGCCCTGAGCGCTGCTGGCGAGAAGAAGCCTCCTTTCTGGAAGTTCTGGGCCAAGCAGGGTGATGGTGTTGAGGAGGGCTGGCAGGCCCCCGAGGAGTGGCTCGAGACTGACCTCCGTGCTGGTCTCTCCTCCTCTGATATCGAACCCCGCCGCAAGAAGTGTGGTTGGAACGAGCTGGTGACTGAGAAGACCAACATCTTCATTCAGTTCATTGGTTACTTCCGTGGCCCCATTCTGTATGGTGAGTATTTCCCTGCATGCGCAGACACGGCTATCTTCTAGCTGCATCCATTCGACGCGTTCAATGCCTTTCTAACGCGTCCTCTTTTCTCTCCCTCTAGTTATGGAACTCGCTGTCCTCCTCGCCGCTGGTCTGCGTGACTGGATCGATCTTGGTGTCATCTGTGGTATTCTGCTTCTCAACGCCCTGGTCGGTTGGTACCAGGAGAAGCAGGCCGCTGATGTTGTTGCTTCGCTTAAGGGTGATATTGCTATGCGTGCTATCGTTATCCGCAACGGTCAGGAGGAGGAGATCCTCGCCCGTGAGCTTGTTACCGGTGATATCGTCATCATTGAGGAGGGCACTGTCGTCCCCGCTGATGTTCGCCTGATCTGTGACTACGAGAAGCCCGAGAACTTCGAGACCTACAAGGAGTACCTCGCTACCGCCAACGACGACACTCTTAAGGAGAAGGAGGACGAAGATGAGGATGAGCGTGACGAGACCCACATCGGTGTCTCCCTCATTGCTTGCGATCAGTCCGCCATCACTGGTGAGTCTCTCGCCGTCGACAAGTACATGGCCGACGTCTGCTACTACACCACCGGTTGCAAGCGCGGCAAGGCCTACGGTATCGTCACTGCTACTGCCCGCCAGTCCTTCGTCGGTAAGACCGCTGCTCTCGTTCAGGGTGCCAAGGACTCTGGTCACTTCAAGGCTGTCATGGACAACATTGGTACCTCCCTGCTCGTTCTCGTCATGTTCTGGATTCTCGCTGCCTGGATTGGTGGTTTCTTCCGTCACCTGAAGATCGCTACCCCCGAGTCCTCCGACAACAACCTGCTCCACTACACTCTGATTCTGCTCATTATCGGTGTCCCCGTCGGTCTGCCTGTCGTTACCACCACCACCCTCGCCGTCGGTGCCGCCTACCTCGCCGAGCAGAAGGCTATCGTCCAGAAGCTCACTGCCATTGAGTCCCTCGCTGGTGTCGACATTCTTTGCTCTGACAAGACCGGTACCCTGACCGCCAACCAGCTGTCCATCCGTGAGCCCTACGTCGCTGAGGGTGTTGATGTCAACTGGATGATGGCCGTTGCCGCTATTGCCTCTTCCCACAACGTCAAGAACCTGGACCCCATTGACAAGGTCACCATCCTTACTCTCCGCCGTTACCCCAAGGCTCGTGAGATCCTGGCCCGCAACTGGATCACCGAGAAGTACACTCCTTTCGACCCTGTCTCCAAGCGCATTACCACCATCTGTACCTGTGACGGTGTCCGCTACATCTGTGCCAAGGGTGCTCCCAAGGCTATCCTCAACATGTCCGAGTGCTCCCAGGAGGAGGCTCAGCTCTACCGTGATAAGGCTACTGAGTTCGCTCGCCGTGGTTTCCGTTCCCTGGGTGTCGCCGTCATGAAGGAGGGCGAGCCCTGGCAGCTTCTGGGCATGTACCCCATGTTCGATCCCCCCCCGTGAGGACACTGCCCACACCATCGCCGAGGCTCAGGTTCTGGGTCTTTCCGTCAAGATGCTTACTGGTGACGCCATCGCTATTGCCAAGGAGACCTGCAAGATGCTTGCTCTTGGTACCAAGGTTTACGACTCCGAGCGCCTGATTCACGGTGGTCTCGCCGGCTCTGCCCAGCACGAGCTTGTTGAGAAGGCTGATGGTTTCGCTGAGGTTTTCCCCGAGCACAAGTACCAGGTCGTCGAGATGCTGCAACAGCGTGGTCACTTGACTGCCATGACTGGTGACGGTGTTAACGATGCTCCCTCCCTGAAGAAGGCTGACTGTGGTATCGCTGTCGAGGGTTCCACTGAGGCTGCCCAGGCTGCCGCCGATATCGTCTTCCTTGCCCCCGGTCTGTCCACCATCGTCGATGCCATCAAGCTGGCCCGTCAAATTTTCCAGCGTATGAAGGCCTACATCCAGTACCGTATCGCTCTGTGCCTGCACCTTGAGATCTACCTGGTTACCTCCATGATCATCATTGACGAGACCGTTGACTCTTCCCTCATCGTCTTCATCGCCCTGTTCGCTGATCTTGCCACCATTGCCGTCGCTTACGATAACGCTCACTTCGAGGCCCGCCCCGTCGAGTGGCAGTTGCCTAAGATTTGGGTTATCTCCATCGTTCTCGGAGTTCTGCTCGCTGCTGCCACCTGGATCATCCGTGGTACTCTCTTCCTTTCGAACGGTGGTATCATCCAGAACTTCGGCTCTCCCCAGGAGATTCTCTTCCTTGAGATTGCCCTGACTGAGAACTGGTTGATCTTCGTTACCCGTGGTGGTAAGACCTGGCCCTCGTGGCAGTTGGTCATTGCCATCTTCATCGTCGATGTCCTGGCTACCCTCTTCTGTGTCTTCGGCTGGTTGGCTCCTGACTGGAAGGACACCCACCCCTCTGACCCCGCTGGCCCCACCTTCTCCGTCAACAACGATGTCGACATTGTCACTGTTGTTGTCATCTGGGCCTACTCCATCGGTGTCACCGTCATCATTGCCGTTGTCTACTACATCCTGACCATCATCCCCGCTCTGGACAACCTTGGCCGCAAGACCCGCTCCAAGGCCGACACCCAGATCGAGAACATGATCGCTCACCTGTCCAAGCTGGCCATTGAGCACGAGCACTCCTCTGACGGCAAGTCCCGTTACACCCTGGGTGCCCGCGCCGAGGATATCGAGGAGGACGAGTAAGCGCTTCGCTTCCTTATTTGGAACAGAGCCTTGCTTTAATCTAAATCTTTCCTTTTCTGAACTCGATACTGGTCCGAGATCACAATTAATTTCCTAAATTTTACTTTTGTCTACAAACCCCCCCTTGCTACAACATACCACGCAACTTTTTGCTTGCTTGCCATCTATCCTGGACATGCATACCGTGGGAAAAAAAAAGGGCGGATACCCTGTCTTTTTCTTTCTTTCCTTTCGACCCTCGTATTATAGACTTTTGTGTGTTCCATTTACCCCTTGATCTCTTCTTGCTTGTTTCTTTCGAGTTGCTAGAGTTTCAAGTTTTCTTTCTCTACGTGTATGTATGTCGTTAATAGTGGTACTTGTTAATCACAAGGAATTCTAATGGCCGTCTGCTCCTCAACTGTAAATCAATGGTAAAAGCTTTCTTGCTATTGTAGTTTAGTATCAATGCAATTCCTCTTTAATCAAGAGCATCTCCTTTGCCCCTCTGTTATACATCCTTCCACGCCTCCACTCACCCCTGCAACCCCACTCGTCTTCTAACAGGTGGACGCCCAATTCTCCGTCCCCCAATCGAACGAGCAATTTCCCGACGAGATTTTCCACCATGCGGGGGAAGCACTAAGCTTCGTGCTTCCCCATTTTCGCGGGGTGAGTAGTGGAGATCTCACACAATTTCCAATCTACAATGGCTCCAACATGCCAATGCAATCTAAGCCTCGGGCCTAAAACCCATTATGGGACATAGTCTCGCCTGGCCATGATCAAAAAGATTTTCCGTCTTCTGCATTGAGTAAAAGTTGAAGTTAAAAAACGAGGCCATGTCTACACAAGCTAGTACCAACCGGAGAAGAGCGAGAGAATAGCCTTCTATAAAGTCCTCCAATTCTCCAAACCAGAACAATTGACCAAGATCATACCCATACGCATACATACAGACTCCCAGGGGATCCTCGTTCAAATATGTTCGGTCTCTCTCTCCTCCCCCTCCTCCCTCTACTCTTCCAAACACCTCCAACAACCGCCGCAGCCCTCACCTACTCAACCCGAGAGAAATGCCAAAGTAGCGCCGGAACCCACTGCCCAAAAGGAACAATAATAGTCGGCAATAGCAGCATTGCAAACTTCCCCACCGTCCAGGAGGCAATCACTTCCTTGCCAGACAACAATACCCCGGCAACAATCCTTCTTCTCGCAGGCACCTACAAAGAACAAGTGAACATCACCCGGGCCGGACCTATCACTTTACTGGGACAGACGAATAACCCGAAAGATGCCTCCCGCAACCGCGTGACGCTGACCTGGGCCGTCGCGAATAAAGATTCAACAGGCCAATCTGTGGATAACGTTTACTCGAGCGTGATGATCGTTGCGCCGACGCTGAATGCTAGTATTACCGGTTCGGGACCAACAGGGTTCGCCGTGCCTGACGACACGCCCTTTGGAAATCGGGATTTCAGGGTTTATAATGTTGATTTTAGGAATACTTGGGCCGAGTATTCGGATGGGCCGGCCCATGCTATTAGCTTCAGCCGGGCTAATGGGGGATTCTACTATTGTGGATTCTATTCTTACCAGGATACGGTATGTTTGAGCTCAAGTTATTCTGCGAGACTTCACCCTAGTACCTACGTCCTTAGTACTAGTGCTATGTAACCCACAACTAACATCCACAGGTCTACATCGGCAAACTAGGAAACGCCTACTTCTACAAATCAATCCTAGCCGGCCAAACAGACTTCCTCTACGGCTTCGGCACAGCCTGGATCCAATCAAGCACGATCCAGCTCCGCGGCTGCGGCGGCGGCATTACAGCCTGGAAAGGCACAAACACGACCTTTGAAAACAAATACGGCATCTACATCGCAGACTCGACGCTCAAAGCGGCGAATTCTTCCATCGCGCCGTCGATGAAGGGCGAGTGTGCGTTGGGTCGGCCGTGGAATTCGCTGCACCGGTCTATCTTTGCGCGCTCGTATGAGGACGGGAGTATTGATTCGAGTGGGTATATTGATTGGGTTGTTAGTGGTGTGGCGCGGTATGAGAATGGGACTACCCTCATGGCGGAGTATAAGGCTTATGGTCCGGGATTTAATGAGACGGGGCGGGTGGAGGGGGTGGTTACGACTGTTCTTGATGGGAAGGGGTGGGCGCCGTATAGTGAGCCTGCTAAGGTTTTCCAGAATCAGGAGGGTGTTTTTGGGGATGTTAAGTGGATTGATTGGGAGGTTGTGCGGTCTTAGTGCCTAGGTAGGGGGGATAGGATAGGGTAGGTCTTTTGAAAAGTGCCTTGAAGTACTAGAGCTCTCACTTAGGTTTATGAGGTAGGATGGAATCAGGTCTGTGTGCAGACTGTTTGTCTGCATGGTGAAATTTTGATAAATGAAACAATCAAATGGCGAAGACATAGGCCATGGTGTATCTGAAACAGGAACAAAGATAAAATGTACACAGGGTGAAATCCCTTCGAGCATTGACGAAGTAAAAGAAACTTGAAAGAAAAAAACACAAAAGAAAATATCCATCCAATGAAACAGCGGCGATGGCCGTAGTAGTACAAAAGTGAGATAGAAACGACAGAAGGGGGTATCGCTATGATATGGAAACAAGTTCGCTTCGCTGAATCATGGGAATATCACTGCTAATAATTCATCGGCGTCCACTCCTGCCCTGGATACGCCGTCGGAGACATGATGATCTCCTCGCTCGAGTCGTCTCGAGTAAGAGCCAATTCGATCGGCTCAGCGGTATCATTGAGAGTACGCGCCTCGCGCTCGCGGGTAGGATGCGAGAAAGTAGTGGACGTGCCGGAGACGACAATGTTTTTGGGTTCGTTATTTTTTGCGATAACGGTGGTGGATTCGAAGTCGGACCCGGTGGATTTGTAGGATTGCACGCTGGGACTGGGAGCTAGGTTTGACGTGGATGTTTGTTCTAGCTCGTGTTCGGGCTCTGGCGCTTGAGATGGCGTATGTGTCTGGTCTGGTTCAGACACCGGCGACTTTGAGGGCACTGGAGGTGACGATTCCCACTCTGGCGATTTCTCTTCAAGTTCATCCATAGAAGCCGATGGGGGTGAACTGCTATTTTCTGATATTGACGGGGCCACCGGGGAGAGAGGGTGGCTTATCATAAAAGGCTGACTCTGGGACCGAGTATGTTGAGGAGTATTCTGGGTTTCTCCAGACATAAGCTGAGAATAAAACCGATTGCCACCCATTGGATTCGATGATGCGGTGGGTGGGCCAGAGATGCTCGCTCGTGGGCGATCAAGTGACGAACGTGCCATGCCTCTTTCATTCTCATGGGTCGGTGGCACTGGGAGGGCCTTATCCATAGAGCGGCGGTTGGTCAAAGACGGTCCATTCAACTCTGCAGAGATACGACGGCTATCCCAGTTAAAGGGCGGCGTCGGTAGGTCCTTTACGTCGAAAGGATCGTGCATCGTTTTTCTGCGCTCCTCAGGCTGGCTGGCTGGTTGCTCTTGCTGACGAGTAAAAAAACCACTGATGCGACTGAAGCCGCGTTTCTTTTGAGATTTTTCTTGATTTCCCTGGATACCTCCCTGGAGCTCGCCTTGCAGCCCAGTCAGGAGGTTACCGACCGAAGCTCGGCGTCGCCGTCCAAAACTTTTCAACTTGTCCATCTTGGAATCACGGTTTTGCGCACCGGAACCCGATGAATCTTGCTGTGACAAATCATTGCCCGGTGTGTTCGGACGGGTTCCTCCTCTGCTGTTCCCGGTACTCTGGCGGCCGAAGCTGCCGAAGCTTAACATGCTGCTCCGGGTTCCCGGTGAATACCTCACTTCATTCCTTAGCGGGCTTTGTACGCCGGGTGTAGATGGTGGAAGTCCACTGATGGACCTGCGTTTGGACTCGAGGATTTCTTGCGGGCTGGGGGGTCTCGGTGGATAGGGGGCGAATCCCGGAACTGCAGACTCCCCTGGTGGAAGCGACGTTTGAGAAAAGCCTGCTGGTGGAATGGGCTTGCCATATATGGTGTCTTCAGGGCGAGGGTCATTGGTAACCCCAGTAGCTGCTTGGATAGGTGAAGGTGGTGTGTCATCTTCAGAAGAGGAGTGAGCTCCAGATTTATCTTCCTCTCCAAGTGTCGAGACGGATGGTTGACGTGGAGTATGGCTTGAGTGCGGAGGGGCTAGACTCTCTTGAGGCTTCTGATAGTATCGATCTTCAAGAAGGCCAGATTCAAGTGTGACACTCTTTGGCGGCACTGGCGGCAAGTCAATAGACTCGGGCTCTTCGACCGAGGTGTCCTTTGGCGGAGCAGGAGGCTTTGTATCTTCTTCAGGCACGGCACGAATTGAGGGAATTGTGATGTGAGATGGTCCTGCTCCTTCTCCATAATGGCTTGGTAGATCTGCTGCTTGGGAAGAAACAGAGTCATCGGTATGCTCAGCTGGTGAGATTGAAATTTCATTCTCGGGATCTGGTATATCTCCCAAAGGCAAAGATGTGAGGTGCATTTTGGCATTAACTGCATCGGCTGAAATTATCGATTCCTGCCTCGACGGTGGCTGCAAACTATCCGTCTCTGCTGAAGGTTCGATGGTTTCTATGGCAGAACCAGTGGGCTCAATGGGCTCAGTAGGCTCAGTAGGCCTAGCACTTTGCGAGGATTGAGTAGGATCGGCAATGTTTTGCTGCTTAGACTGCTGAGCACGGGTTTCTGTTGGTGACAGACCCAACGCAGCATTCATCTCTTTCTCAAAGTCATTCATGTACTGCGACGCTTCAGGCTTAGCTTCATTGATCTCAGCACCCTTCTTGCTGAACCCAAAGAGATCCAAAGAACCCCTGGACTTGATGCGTTTGCTCTCGCGTCCACGTTCATCCTGTCCACGTTCATCCTGTGAATCTTCTATACAGGCAGGATCATTTGCATTGGGAGTAGAGCCCTCATTGCGTCCGAATTTGAAGATAGGTAGACTGTTGAAATTGAGAGAGCTGCGTCGGGGTGTTTTACCAGAGTAGCCTGTGGAGCTGGCCGACTCGGATTGGGAAGAGAATTGAAACTGCAAACTTTTGCGTGCAGACGGTGATTGTCCCTACAAGCATTACCAACATCAGAAGTAGTTCGAGCGAGAATGAATGGGAGTGGACGAAGAAGAGAGGAAGCATCAATCGTGTCGCATTCTAAGATCCAATGCCAAAGCGATGGGATATTACATCGTGGTATCGATAAGAGATGATGAAAGAAACAAATCAAGCACAGCGAGAGACCTGCTGCACTGCGCTAATTCCAGAGCGCATTGTCCAAAAGAAACATGGCCCCCACAGCTGAAAAGAGAGAAAGGATTATGTATCTACCTTGTCATTTCCACCTTGTCGGAACTTGCTTCTTCCCTTGGCGAACAGGCCCTTGGCCGCCTCGCCAGCTTTTCCACCGAACTTGCCTGCCGTGTGCAGGAACTCCTTTCCATGCTGCTCGACGTTTTGCCTATTCACGATGGTTCCAATATGGCCAGATGGGCGTCTTACGTGACTGGTATTGATAGGAGTGCTGTCCTCCCGAGTCGTCGCAGATAGATTACCAAGAGACGTCAGTTTGGGAAATCGACGAGTAGTGGGAGATGCCTTGGGGAACGCGGAGGATAGAGTCTGGCTTTCCTGGATAAGGTGGGCATGCTGTGACTGATCTTGAAGCGTAACTTGAAGCCAGTGGTTCAAACCAGTGTCAAGAGTCGCAAATTGAGTTCTTGTCTCCTCAAAGGCTCGCACACGCGCAGCGGGAGTGGAAATTTGAAGAATATCGCGGAAGCCTTGGAGCTTAGACTCATCAATCTTCGAGGAACCAGTATAGTCAGGCAGTGACAGATCTAAATGAGATTTCTCCAGGGAAGGAATAACTTCCTCGGGTGGAGTGGCATTCTGAGATATTGGTGGAACAATGGAGAGTCTAGGTCTCTCTGCCTTCTGACTTTCAGCGCCAGAAACCTCCCCATCGGTCATCCCTTGGGATGACAGATGAAGCTCTTCGAGGTCAGGAATGGGTTCCGGTGCTTGTGGTGCTAAACCATCAGGCGAATCGTAGTTAACGGGAGGAGGTCCACCTGACGAGGCTGATTCCCACGAGAATCGTCGGCCCAACTTCGGCTTCTTGGGTGGCTCAGCTGAGACAGGCTGCGGCTCCTGCGAAGGGGCTGCATAAGGATCATGAGGAGCAAGAGGATGGGAGCCGACCCAGTCCGGATGAGACTCGGAGACGAGTTCTTTTTGGGATCCATCGCCTGGACCTGTCTGTCCATCCCAATACTTTTCATACTGGTGCGGGATGGAATCCTCTTGGGCTGCTTCTGGCTGAGACGGCCTAGGCTGTTCTTCCGGTTCCTGGGAGTTTTCTCTGCTCAAAGAGCGCATAATCTCCTCTCGAAGTCGGTCGTTATCAGCCTCGTTAGGAGAGGTATTAGCGCCAACGATAGCGGGAATACTTCCCCGATATCCTTCCGATCCCGACGTGCCAGCACTGCCAAATTTGAGAGGCGCAACGAAATCGCCATCGAGGGTATTTGACGTAGGGATTGTTGGCGGGGCGGTGGTGTCTACAGGTCGCTCAGGTGACCTGTTCTCTTGACCTGGAGATACCGAGGTAAGCTCCGCTCGACCAGCCAGAGGAGTATCATGGTCGGTAACGACGGGGCGCTTGGAGGGACTATTATCTCGCTCTGGGAGACTAAGGTCACGCCGGTGACCAGGCTTGAAGAATGGTGGCTCGGCCGCATCCTGTGGAGCGCCTGTTGGGGTACTGGCATCGGTAGGCTCTTCGGGAATCGTGGGGGTCTTGTCATCGGTGGGCACACGGTGGCTCATGATCGGGCTAATCACAGAGGTGCCATCACTGTTAGAACGAGTCACGCTATCGGCGGTGGAGTTTGGTGTTTCAGGAACATCAAAAGCTTGGTGGACTACCGAACGGAATCCCTGTGAAGTCTCCGAGGCCTGCGAGGGATTATGGCGTAGAGAGTTCTGTTCGGCACTCGGATTTTGCTGGTTAGAGTCAGTTCCAGTTAAGAAATCAGATCCGAACCCAGAGAAGCGCTTGACCTCAGGCAGCCCGACGGGCGCATTTTGAGTTATACTCGAAGGCTGGGTTCCAAGTGGTGCTGGCTCAACACTCTGCGTAGGTTCCGAGCGGAGCCCGAATCCCGCCGGGCCTTGCTGAGCTGGTGGTTCATCCGTTGCGCGTCTGGGTATATCGGCGGGCCTGACAAATGGCAGATTCTTTTGTTCACCTCCAGTTGGTGTTGCCGCAGCTGGACTGGCTCGCGACTCTTCGACACCATATCCAAGTCCCGATGGACGCCTGGAGCTCAATTCTGACGAGCTGGTTGTTCTTTGTGTTGCATATGGGGGTCGAGGTGCAGCAGGGGGTTGCTCTTCCTCTTCTTCTTCCTCTTCTTCGGATCCCCAGTCTCCACCGTCGTATGAGTACTGCTTCGCTTCCACCCAGCGCTTAGTCTTTGCGCGATTCACATTGGGTCGAAAAGAAACGGGGGTATTTCCAGCACTAGCGGGCGAGAGGGGGCTGTTGGCGTTGGATGGGGAGGGACTATTGGTATTGTTTAGAGCTGGTTCAGCGAGAAGGAGAGCAGCGACCAGGCCACTGAGGGGTCATACTCACTTCTTGGGGCCTGGGCGGCCTCGCCACGGGGCATTGGGGTCCGCCATTGGGGGAGTGACGTTAGGTCGAGCTCGTCGGGGTATACCGCATTAGTGAATGCCGTACTGGCTTGTCGAATGGGAATGCAAATGCAAATGGTAGCTGGAGGATGATATGCAACTAGGGGGGGAAAGTTGACTAGCGGATGCTTGCTTGGTCGTAGCAGAAAGGAATAAATGAGATATTTGAGGGGATGGTAAGGTGGCGTGAGCGGCGTTGGGTGCCAACGCGGGCGCCGATCAGATGGGATCGACTAGGTGAGGAGAGTGAGAGATATGGGAAATGGGCACAGAAACTGGGCAACCGGTGTGCACGATGTGTATGTACACGAGAGTGACTATGCTGAGACAGTCCGAGTTGATCAAAGATTCAACAGGAGTAAGTAGTAAACAAGTTGTAGTTATGAACAGTAGGAAGTTCAGCAAGTACGGAGGATCCCCTGATTTAATTGTGGAGACGGCTGACGTAATGTGGCTGCCTGCGGCTAATTATATCGATGACTCAGCAGGTGGCGCAGTGGTCAGGTGATCCACGTGTCGCGGCGCGGCGAAAACGGCCTGTTTCTCCCCTGGATGATTGATTGCTCTTTGGTGAAAAGACGAAAGGACTCCAGGTTGATCCCGGGCTACTTCTATTGATTACATCCTACTCAGTTTCGCGACTGTTGATATCAACTCCACTCCACCCCACAGCCCATCCCTCTTATCGTTGATAGTCGCATCATAGGACGCCCTGAAACACCGAGTCCACTCTTCGCCCCTCCTCCGCTGAATCCAGACTACAACCTTCGCTCCATCCCATTCATTCGCCCCGGTCGCACATCACACAATGACAGGTCCATCCATCCAAGACCGCACGAGCGAGTTCAGCTCCATTCTGGGTCAAGCCCAAAGGCGTCTGGGTAATTCAAAGGTCGGCTCTCAGCGCCAGGCCTTATTGACCGATGCCCAGCGACAACAGGCAAATGGCTCACCATCGGGGCTCCCGCATACTAAGGCGGGTAGATCGGAGTTCGCGCGTCGGGCGAGAGATATTGGAAAGGGAATCACTGGAACCATGGCGAAGCTGCAACGACTGGCAGAATGTGAGTATCGCGGATGTCTCGAGAAAGAATAGGTTGTCCTTGTCCAGACGAGGAGCTAATACATGAGTTTAGTGGCCAAACGAAAGACCCTCTTCGATGACCGACCAGTCGAGATCTCAGAATTGACCTATGTGATCAAGCAAGACCTGGCAGCGTTGAACCAGAACATCGCTTCCTTGGCATCATTTACCCAATCGCAACATCCCAAAGCAACCCGTTCCAAGATGGATCAAGAAGGAGAGCACAATGATAACGTGAGTGGTACCCCCCCTTCATCTGGTAGGGAATAAGAGCTCTACTAATGTGTCCATTCATAGGTCGTTGTGATGCTGCAAGGAAAACTAGCCGATGTGGGAGCCAACTTCAAAGAAGTGCTGGAGGTGCGCACGAAAAACATTCAAGCATCCCGCTCTCGAACCGAGAACTTCGTTTCCTCAGTATCGTCAAAATCGCAAAACGCCCTAGACTCGCAACGGTCCGATTCCCCTCTATACAATCCCTCCGGAAGACGGACACCCCAACCAGGCTACCAAGGAAACTCCTCCGATCTCTTAACTCTCGACCCCTCAAACCCCTCTCCTTTGGGACGCCCATCGATGCAATCCGATCAACAACTCTTGGTCATGGAGGAAGCCCAATCTAGCAATACATACATCGAGGCCCGAGGTGAAGCCATTGACGCCATTGAACGAACTATTAGTGAATTGGGTGGTATCTTCGGTCAGCTGGCCACTATGGTCAGCGAACAGTCCGAAATGATTCAACGTATCGATGCCAATACAGATGACGTCGTGGATAATGTGCAAGGAGCTCAGCGAGAATTGATGAAGTATTGGACCCGCGTGTCCGGTAACCGATGGCTCATCGCCAAAATGTTTGGCGTTCTGATGGTATGTGTCGCCGCCATTTTGACATCGCGGACATGAGTACTAATGCCCACTTTTCTTCTAGATCTTCTTCCTTCTTTGGGTGTTGATTTCGGGATAGACCCGATTTTTGACCGCCGCCCTTTCATTATTGTATCATAATACCTGATCGTGTGTTTCGCATAACCGATCTTACTGCATTTCTCGCGCCCATCGAGCATTACCAGCTTTGCTTTTGGTCCTTTTGACTAGACTCTGGGTCTCTCTTTTCGCTATCCTTTTCCTTTTCCTCATCTCTATTGGGACTGTGTCCCTAAGACGACCTATCCGAGTAAATACTCCATGTACTAATCAAACAACCACGATACAATTTCATATTCTCCTCTTGGTTCATCTTATCAATAAGAGACATTTTTTGTAGCAATTATCCTTAAGAACTCAACTGGGTCATTGCATCCCAGAGTTCGGACTCCGCCCATCCAAGAGACGGCTGATTGTCAAATAGCTCCCACATAAGACTATCATCCCATCCTTCCATAGACTGTGATATCCCGGCAGTGGGAGCCTTGCTAGTAGTAGTGACAGGACTTGGGAGGGTATCAATGGCCCTATCAGCACGACCAAACATCACTATATTCAAGTTCGAGGGGTCATTCGAAAGAGAAGATATCGTTACACTCGAAGAAGTCAATCCGGTATTTCCCTTTATCAGCGGCGTACATAAGTCTAGAAATTTCGAAAATAAGCCGTATAGTTTCCCAATTGGGGCGTTGGCTTTAGCAAATTGACGTAGATCATCGGTGATCTTTTTGATCATCTCGAAGTCCCTTTTGATCCGATGTTGCAACAACGTTGCAAAAAAAAACGAAGAAAGGAGATAGCGGGTATAGTAACATCGTCCTAGACCCGTTAGCTTCATTCTTCTCCGAAGTGCAAGGTGGAATGTATACCAGGTGAGAAATGAAGGATAGGAATCGACAGAAGTGGCATGGCCTGAGAATGCCTCTTGCATCGCCCGAAGAGTAGTAAGTGCTTTCCGAGCCGTGAATAGACACTCCTCGCAAACCAGGCGAGACTTGAGCACGGACGATCGTGCACGAATGATCGTCGTCAGAACCGAATAGTAGTTGAAATCCATCGAGAGCCATTCACGCTGAATGGTCCCCCAAGATGTAGAGAATCTTTGCTCCTGGCGGCTCCGATGCTGAAGAAATTTAGTTCCTTGTATTTCATGTGAGTGAGAGTAGGATGTCATGTCTGATCTTACAATTTCCAGGTCTGAGTGGACCGCATGTGCCCGTGCCACGAGATTAGACAACACATTTGCCTTGTCCATATCTCCCATTTTGTTGGAGTCCAGAAGAATGTTTACCAGAGTACTCTTGATATGTGCGAACTCGACGATTCCTCTAATGATAGGCGTTGTCGGTAGATCAGGGTCCATGTGGATTAATTGTGTTGGATCGACCTTGAGATCTGGTAAAGATGGTGGTCGTAGAAGGAGCACACTAAGAGTTTTGTCAAAGTAGTAGCATGTATATAGACATGCGTGAATTTCCTCTTCGGTCTCATTGTGTGGCACAGGGTCGGTGATATTGTGGTAATTGAGTGCGACGATGATCCTCGATGCGAGGGCATTGAACATCCAAGATCGTGACATGTTGCCCAAGTATTGCATAAGGCGTTTCTAAAACATTCAGCTTGAGAAAGAACTTGAAAAAAAAAACCAACGAGGAAAGAGTATAGCTTACGCCGGAAAGCAATGCTTGAAGCAAGGGAAGACTTGGCACAGCAGTGAGAGAAATCGAATCCAATTCTTCATTGGCAGCTGCCTCATATTGTTTCTTCAGAGCTCTGAAATGAACTCTCAACGGGGCACTTGAGATCAAAGGTGCCATTTTTGAAATGCAAGAAAGCGCTTTCACCCAGACGCTGATCCGATAAAGATGCAGTACTGGTTCACCTTCACTGCGCTCGATAATCGCAAGACCCATTCGCTCTAGAGTTTTGTCTGTTATATGGTCCGGCCACACATATGTACCTTGCGAGTTTGTTCTCTTGTCGGTTCCTAAATCGATTAGAGCTAGCACGATCATATTGCACCTCTTGATCGACTTACCCGGCAGCATCATATACAATAACTCAGGCGTCAGAACAGGAGGTCCTAGATTGTCGGCAACCCCCAAATGCTCTGCGGTATTTGACTTTTGTCCGTGAATTCGAGGATTTGAAAGCTGACCGACAAACCTCTGGGCCAACTCTAGAGTAGTCCGCCTGTCCTGTGAAAGAGTTGGATTGCACTGAAGCTCATGTTCAATGAACTCACGAGCTTCGCTGGCATGTCGCGTTGCATCAGGAGAATTTCGTTCGTTGTGAGCCTTTGAATCGATATTGAGAGACATCTTCCGCTTCGAGTCTTGGTGGCCAGAAGTGCTTGATTCATAGGTCGTTGAGGCTTGATACTTTCGTTTTGCAGCCACTCGAGTTGAGTCAGCAGATCTCGCTTGAGGGGACACACTTAGTGTAGTAGTCAGACTTGTATCGTCATTTTCTGGCGGAGAAGAAAACATGGAGCTGTCTTCACTCGTCTTTTCGAGCTTTGCCAGTCTTTCCGTTATAGCTTCAAGGCTTTCCTCCTATTAGTTTACATTGGTTATAATTGTAGAGATATAGATCATACCGGGAGATCCGAGGCCGATGAAATCTTGCCTGGCGACTTCGAAGGCATTGCGCTCGTGCATCTACACAGTTTAGACAGGGGTCTTCACGATCGCATTTGACCTTCATAATCGACGACACCGGGTTAGTGCCTTCGCAGCCAACTAGACAGGAACTTGTATTTGGTACCCATACCTTTCTAGAATGACACAGATCACACTTTTTCTCCGTCAGCAATGGAATCATTTTCTTCTTCTTTTCCAAATAAAGCAACTTTCCTGACTTCAGGGACTGAATGACTTACTGCTGCTAGTGTTGCCATTTTACGGTCGTGGCTTCGAAAGCCGTGCCAAGGTGACCCACAATGGTTCGCGTGTTACTTTCTCAGAATCCTCTTTGCACTAGCTTGTAATGACAGCTTGATTTGCGCGAATTGAGCAGGAAATGTGGGAGAGAGGAGACAACATCTCTTATGTCGGGGATCCGAAAAGCCGGGGTCCGGCCGAGCGGGGCGTAGTCCGTCGGACTTGGCCGAGCAAGGCTCTTATCTTACTCTACGCAACAAACTACAATGAATCCTTATCAATACAAGGCTTTATACTCCGTATTTAAGTAGAATATTGACTGTGGTCTGACAAAAATTTTAGCCCTCCTCCCAGCAATGTATACAGCGGAGGGCTATTGTAGACCCACGAAGGATGGGAACTGGCTCATCGGTCAAATGTGGAATCGCTCCTCGTTCGGCCAATTCACGATACGCAGCGCCAAACCAAATATGATCAAGTTTCGGTTGAATCGCTGGTGTTCCAGCAATAAGCGGCCCACTGGAAGCCAGATAGTGACCTAGGTCTTCGCGCATCTGCCACATAAACTCCTTGCGATGGGACCAACCTGAGTTTGGTGGCATGTTATCCTTCTTATTTTCGTCCATTGCAACGGCTTTGAAGAATTGATCGATGCGTTCCAAGGTTGACGTGAACAGAAGAAGACTCATCCAGCTTTCCGAGGATGAATAGGGGAAATCTGGGTTCATGAGTCGTCGGACGGTAGAGCATAGCAGTTGCATGCAATGCTGAGTCGAAATAAGAATTTGGGTGTCGTTGAATGGCGGCCCCTCGAGAATCTTTTGCTGTTTTTCAACAGAGCTAGAGAGATTGATGAATTGATCAGATGCAGGGCAATCCCATACTGGGCCCTCGGCTGCAGAGGATTCGAGAAAAAAATATAGCGTAAGCACTATTGGAAGTTAACCAAGCTACTCATCTCCCAACAGAGTGACGAGACTTACACGGAATGTAGAAGTTTTGCTTGGGTGGCCTCCACACCTTTGCTGTAAATGAATTCCTTCTCCGTTTTGGACGAACGCCAGAGTGGGCGGGCAATGGCATCTGTCTCTAGATGATGTCGAACTGCATGATCAGCCAAGTGATAGGATAGCTGTATGCAGGTCGTCCAACACCTCCTGAGATCGGCTATATATGCCAGTGAATACTCGGCATCACTGTAGTAGTGCTCGCCCACGGCATACTGAGGTGGTGGGGGTGGGAAAAGCTCGGAGATAAATGTCAAATCATCCCCTGGTGAGAGGCTGAGGCCAGCGTCATTTTCGTTTTGCCTGGTCCACTTCTGCCTACGTAGGTTGAGATAAGTCTGTGCGATCATGAACTCATTCTTTGAAATTCGGTGGTGCAATAATCGACAGGCTAGAGTGAGACTAGCAATATCGTCGATCTCACAGAGCGCTAGTAGAACCACAAAAACGTTATCGGGAAGTCGCTTCCAGGGTGACTCCTTGGGTCCTATATTGAAGGAGGATGCTCGCTTTCCCCGGCGCGAGACAGCCGCCCGGACTCGACCGAAGAACGGGGTCATACTTCATGTCAAGATGGCGGAGAGGCACTCGGGCAGCAAAATAAAGCTCAGGCGGATTCACTGTCTGGGCTCCATGTCTTCGGATAGACAAACAGAGGGCCTCGGGGCTATTGGGAAAAGACCGTAGAATCGAATGAAAGGAAATGAAATTAAGCAAGAAGATCGGGGAAGATGAAGAAAGAGGCACGGGGGACATCACAGTAAGCAGAGCTGAGAAAAGGCAAGATGAAAGGATCTGGACCCGCCCAGCTTGTCTACTTGACACAAGGACAAGGCTCTAAGGCATCAATAAGGCCAGCCACTTTGAACCCACACTTCTCCATGGTCACAAAAAGCTTGACGAAGCTCCATATCAATCTAGATATATGGCCAAAGTTATGTTTATCTATGCTCAATGTGCTAGAATATTAGAACTTACTGCAACGCATTTTATGCCGAGTTTCCAGTCTACGATACTCATCTTGCTTTGAATCTTGAAATGTTCCCGAATCCAGATATCAAGAGAGTTAAACTCCACAAGCTGGTGGGGTTATTGACATCACCGCGAGCATAGGGCAAGGATTGACGCCGTTAAGATACTCAGTTAGAATTCATTTTGAATAGAAATACTCATACTATTATAATAATGGAAAACTATTTGTCCTGCACATCAATATGAGTAATATGGCAGTTTGGTCATATTGACACCTGTAAAATAAGGCGACAACATTATTTGCCACGACGCGCCGCGCCCGCCGCAGCTCCCACTGATGTCTTCAAGTTCGCACGCCCCAGTACATGCACAGAATTGAAATCAGACAGTTTATTTGGCATCATTCCGGATGTATATTTGATTTCTTATGCTACAGTGAAAGGCGCGAATAAATTCTCATCGTGCTTAAGCCATGCCAGGTCCCGAAGACGGTGTTGGCTTAAGCAATCCGGTACCCACATCGACGGATTCACCTGAGGCTCTATCAAAATCATATTCGTGTGTGGTCTGCCACAAGAGAAAGGTAAAGTGCGACCGGAAAGATCCATGCTCGAATTGCGAGAGGGCTAGTGTTGAGTGTATTTACCGTCCTCCACCACCGCCCCGTCGTCGCAAACGAGAGCACGATTTGGATGAAAACGCGTCTCAAAGTCGTGAAAAGTCGCGTCGTCATGGAACGGACAGCTCTCACATGATTAATAATAACCAGAGGAGTTCTGTACCTCTTCACTCTGTCCAAAGCCCTCATAAGGGACAGGCTGCGGGATCCGGAAGAATGATCATGAAAGATGGCAAGTCTGTTTACATTGACAAGTGAGTTCAACCAAAAGCCTTCTGCAGATATTTGACTAACCTTGATATAGTACTCTATGGACAACAGTTAGTCACGAGGTTAGCTATGGTGTTCTACTTCTCCTGGTTATATTACTGATGACTCCTGTAGCTCACCAATGCATCAGACGTCATAAATGATGCATCAGATGGCGGCGATGGGAATGTGTCTGAGGACGATATTGATGGGACTGATATGCTATTGGGCCTTGGTACCAAGGAGTGTCTCACAAACATACACCCAAGCCCTTTGCATATCTTTAAGTTGTGGCAGACTTTTCTTGAAAACGTTAATCCGTTAATCAAGTTGTTGCACACCCCGACAGTCCAACCACAAATTCTCGAGGCTATGAGTGACTTGCCAAAGGCAGGTAAAGAACTTGAGACATTGATGTGTTCGATTTACTGTATATCTTTGGCTTCTATACCGGCAGGAGACGTGGAAAAAGCATTTGGCGAAACCAAAAGGAAGCTTCTTTCCCGATATAGAAGAGGCGCTCAGATATCATTCAGAAAGGTGTCTCTTCTTCGAACCTCAAGTATTAGAGTGTTGCAAGCGTTCATGTTGTACTTGGTGAGTTCATCCCCGTTTGGAACTTTTCTTTTCTTTTCCAACAGTTGAATTTCAGTTATCATTGCGCGGATCCTCAGATCCACATACCATTTGGACACTCAGCGGAGTTGCATTACGTATCTCCCAGAGAATTGGGATCCATCGCGACGGCTCTGCATTTGGACTCTCAGCATTTGAGACTGAAATGAGACGTCGGATTTGGTTTCAACTTATAATCATAGATTCCACATCCGCTCAATTCTGCGGAGTGGCCACGAGCCCGTTTCTGGCAACTGCCGACACCCAGCCTCCAACGAACGCGAATGATAGCGATCTCGATCCCCGGATGACAGAGCCGCCACCCGAAAAAGCCGGCGCAACTGAAATGATATTCTGTCTGACTCGCGCCGAGTTTGGCAAATGGCTCAGACGTTGGGGCAAAAGGTACGGTGATGCCAATTCTCCCTGGGAATTCCTATCATCCTCTTCAATGACTCTACGCCAAAAAGATGAAGCCATCGATGAATTCGAAAGTATTGTCGAGAGCAAGTTTTTGCGCTTCTGCGATCCATCTATTCCGCTTCACCTGGCAACCACTGTGATGGCCCGCTCTGCAGTACACTACGCGCGGTTAACGGCGCATCACCCACGTCAATACCAAGATTCGACTTTTCAGGTCCCTCAGAAGGAAAAAGACATAATTTATGTAAATTGCCTGAAGATGGCAGAATATGCCAACTTTGCTCAGATAAATCCAAGTATTCAGCGGTTTATCTGGCACATGGTCAATCATATGCCGTGGGACGCCATGATTTTCATGCTATCTGAAATGCGAAATCGGTCTGACCCGGAGGAAAAGAGTATGGTATGGCAGATTATTGGTGACATATACGGTCGGTATCTTCGACAGATGACCAAATCTACCCACGTGCCTCTTCACAATGCGCTGCAGAACTTGATAGTCAAGACATGGAGAGCATACATCGATGGTTGTAACAAAGGCAACCGTGTCCCTACTCCATGTCCCGAAATTGTCTCAACGCTTTTGGAAAAGGCGGATTCAAGTTGTTCCACAGAAAAGCAAATGGTCAAAGGAGACTCCAGGATGGCTGAGCTTGGCAGACAGTTTGAAGAATTACCCAGTCAAAGCATTCCAAACGAATATCTTGGCTCTGGACCGGAGGATATCAACTTTCTGCTCACCGACAGTCCAAATTGGAATGAATGGGACAATCTTTTGAACCATTTTCAAGAATCACTTTTAGATGACACAGCGCTGTTTTCGGGCTCATGAGTTGAATGACTCGAATGAATCAAGCGCCACTATTTCCGGGAAGCTTTCGGGCAATGTCGGGTGACTCAAGACGCCCCGCGTACACGAGAACCCCATCACCTGCTTATCGTTTCTCAACTGGGATGGCTTTGTCCCAGGTGTCACGAATCCTTTTTAAGAGTGAGAATCTTTCAACGTGGCCGGTGTTCGCGGCGATCGGTGGGGCGAGGATCCGATTTCATCGGCAGAGTAATGCTCGGGGTCGGTGGTTAGGCCGCCCGAATACGAAACCCTTCATTAGAGATTTCTCGATGACGCGGGTCTACTAGTATACGAGTACTTGGAGGAAATTTGACGTTTCATTCAGGTACTAACTGACTAGCTATTTAAACTTCACCCAATCTCCTGAAAAAGGAAACAAAAAACATGGTCTCCTTTCCCCGTTGCCTCTCCACCCTCCAGTCATAACACAAACAAAAATCCAATCCGCTCATTCAGACGATATCAGCCATATACTATCTATCGTCACCGATAGGTCGAAATATAATGTCCACGATAGATGTTTTGATTGTCGGGGCAGGTCCAACAGGACTTGTCTTGGCCCTCTGGCTTCAACGACTCGGAATCAACTTTCGCATCATCGATCAAGGGAGCAGCCCGGCGCAGAATTCCCGCGCGCTGGTTGTCCATGCACGCATATTGGAGTTGTACCGTCAAATTGACATGGCTGACGAACTTTTAAGTCATGGGTACAAACTCCCAGCTACCAATGTTTGGGTGAATGGCCAACACTGTGCCCGCATACCGCTTGGTGAATTCGGTACAGGAATGACGCCGTACCCATTTTTGCTGATTATACCACAAGACAAGCACGAGGAAATCCTCGAAAAACGTCTCAACTCACTCGGAGTATTCGTGGAGCGGCGTACAAAATTGGAGGGGTTTTCGGATAGCGGATCGGGAATCTCTGCGACTCTTGTCAGTGAAGATGATGGAATAGAGTCGACTTGCGAGAGCACTTACATCGCTGGCTGTGATGGAGCTCACTCCGCGGTCCGACATACGATGGGTGCCAAATACGAAGGAGAAACCTATGCACCAGTCTTCTACATTGCCGACGTCGAGACTGAAGAACAAGAAAGCCCCTTTTATAATGGAGAGGGCCACCTGACATTCGCCGATAATTCATTTAACCTAATAATCCCACTCGCACAAGAACGACGCATACGTCTGGTTGGGACTACCATACCCAAGGACAATGACCAACCAATCGATCAGTCTGATCCTCCCCCAGAGCTGACTTTGGAGAGCGTGCTGCCGAACATCAAGAAAACATCGGGCATAGAAATCAAGAACACTAATTGGTTCTCTGCCTATCGTTGTCATCACCGAGTTGCCGAAAATTTCCGCAAAGGTCGTACATTTCTTGTGGGCGATGCGGCTCACATTCACAGTCCTGTGGGCGGCCAGGGCATGAACACCGGAATAATGGACGCCATTAACCTAGCATGGAAACTTGCCAGCGTTATCAAACAACCTTCCATGTCAGAGGAGTCAAAAAATAAGCTTCTTGATTCCTATCAATCAGAACGTCGCTCGTTTGCACTAAGTGTCGTTGGTGCGACCGACCACGGCTTCACGGTTCTCACAAGTCCGGGCTTCTTTGCGCATATGCTCCGTACCTGGATAATCCCATATCTTGCTCCGATAGTCACCAGATTTCAATCTACACGAGCCGAGATTTTTCGGCGTGGCTCACAGCTCGTCTGTTCATACCGAGACAGCCCTATCAACCAGCCTTACAATAATGGAGGTGCAATTCAGCCTGGTGATCGTCTTCCATGGGCCGAGACCGAAATAAGTGACAACTTTTCGACGCTTACTGGTATATCCTGGCAGATGCATGTGTATGGTGAAGGACTCGAACCATCGGATCTTGCAAAGTGGTGTCGAGAAAAGAATGTCAAACTCGCTATTTTCAAATGGGAATCACGACATGGCCAGGTTGGACTGAAGAAGCATGCTGCCTACTTGCTACGCCCGGATCATTACGTTGCAGGAATTTTTGATCGGGATGTTGAGTCCGAGGTGGATAAATATTTTTTATTTCACGGCCTTCAGTGCCTGGACGCTCGATAAGGCACCCGACGAGATATCGGTGTTCTATTTATCTCCCCTCATGTACCATAGTTAAAATCCAACCCAGAGACTAGACTCAGAGGCATCTTTGATCTCGGTAATCATGCCAAACCGCTCAATATTCCCAACTGTAGCGTCAAAACTTTGGCAGTTTCTATATCAATCGTATTACAAGGTTTTAAGGCCTCTGCCCACTGAGAATCTCCGTTCGGACCGGAGAACAACAGACGGGCCCCAATGCCGAGACCGGCTTCCATGTTTGGATCGAGTTTCTTCGCCAGCGGGAGAGAAGTTCCCAGTTATGGGGAAATGAGTAATAGAAATTAGGATTGGTTGCGTAGTGATTCAGTTCCTGTGATCAAGTACTTTCGTTTAATGAAAAAATTCCGGAATAAGTATGTGCCTCGGAGCTGACATGCCCTCGGATCCGAAAAGATCTCCGGAAATTCGGATCCGGAAGATGGTGAACAGCTTCGGAGTGCGCTGACTTACGACAGGTAAATGATAAAAGTGAATAAGATAAAGCTCCGGTATATAAGAAGCGATCTTCAACTATATTTTTGTTTCAGATTCCACCGGTGGACAGCAACCAAAATAATCAACTAAATAAACCTCTTCAAGCACTCGAGCCAACTCTCTTATTTGAAAATCAGAACTTCAAATGGCTTCCAACAACATTGCAATCATCGGCGCGGGGCTATCGGGCCTTACCTTGGCTCTTTGCCTACATAAACAGTCTATCCCATGCACCATCTATGAGTCTCGATCGGCGTCTCTTGATATCGGAGGTGCTATTATGCTTTCCCCAAACGCATTGCGGGTCCTGGATGCGATAGGAATCTACGAGACCATCAAGCCTCGCGGATTTGACTTTAAGGACTTGCACTTTTATACGAACAAGCCACTCGACTCATACGAATTTGGAAACCGCTCAAAATATGGGTACGATGCACTGCGCATCTACCGCTACGAATTGATCGACGTTCTTTTGTCTGGCATCAAGGACAAGGGTATCCCCATTGAATATGGAAAGAAATTCACTCAGGTTCTTTCCGAGTCCGAAACTGAAGTCACCTGGGAATTTGAGGACGGTACGACTGGCTGCGCATCTTGCCTCGTTGGAGCTGATGGTATCCATTCGCGAGTCCGAAAATACCTATATCCTACTTTGGAGCCTCGCTTCACCAATGCGATGGGTGTCACGGCTGCTATTCCGACCAGCCAGCTCCAGGCCTCTGATGAATTTCAGCTTCCCATCACAATCATGAATCCCAAACATGGTGCCTTTGTTATTGCGCCGCAACAGCCTGATGGCTCGGAAATGCTCATTGGAAAGCAAAAGCGTGCGCCGGAGCTTGATCGCGAAGGATGGAGCAAGTTACTCAACGACAAAGAGTGGTGTGTGGAATTCCTTCGTCAGGGCTCCGAGGACTTCCCAGAAATTGTCAAATCAGCCGTATCGGATATTCCGCTTAACAAGATCAACCTTTGGCCTTTCTATGTGGTGCCCAAGCTTGACACGTGGGCGTCAGAGAATTCTCGCGTGGTCATCCTTGGAGATGCAGCTCACGCTATACCGCCTACTGCTGGCCAGGGAGTTAATCAGGCATTTGAGGATGTTTACACCTATGCTTTGGTTTTGAAGAAATCCCTGAGTGGAGATTTGAATCAGGGCCTGAAGATATGGCAGCAAGGTCGACAAGAACGGGTTGATCGGGTCCTTGAGCTGAATACGCAGATTGATGCGAGAAGAATGCCAAGGGACCCCAACTCGGCAATTTCGGAGATTGAGACCAAGCCGTTTGAACTAGAGTGGCTATATGGCCCGAAGTTTGATGAAATGGTCGAGAACTGGTTCCAAACGTGTAAAGCAGACTGAAGCTTCGTCATTCTCATTTAATTTGTTGAGTTGTTGAATATCATATGGAAATAATAGGATTACCCGGACAAATGAGCTTAAAGTCTCGTAGTCTCTTTCAAATTGGTTCAATTCAACTTGGAAGTAGTAGTAGTAATCCTATAGTAGTAACTAAACTGCATTGGACAATTATCATTTGAGCACCAGAGCAATAATAATACAGAGATAGTCACATACCTAGTATATTCGTTGGCAAATTTAATTTGTGGGGGTTAGCATTTTTGACCTCCTGAGCAGTTCAACATCATTTGGTCGAATATTGGGGAACTCTTGGTCGAGACTTTAGAGTATGAGACTCTGTTCCGATTGGACAGCGTTTCGGTCACATATTTAAAGTGCTAAAAAGAGACGGTATGCTTGTTGACACTGTCTTAAAATTTGAGGGGATTTGATGTTTCTGCTGTTCCTATCGGCAGATACAAGTAGTTATCTAGCGCGGACTAGTTAACTCAGCCAAGCGCCCCCGCGTTTACAATATAACATCATCTTGGCCCTGAACATCTATCTCAGAAGAACAATGCTGCAATTTAACTGGCTTGCGTTACGATGGAGCCGGTAATGAGTCTAAGCTCTATTTTGATACGATGGGAGCTCATTTTCATCAACCGCCTAGGTATTAAAGACTAACTTGCATTCCTCCATGTGGGTTTCGGTAAACCTGATGACCCCAAACTAAGCAAAGTAGCCCTGAACTGCTATACAATAACAACTATCGGAAACACATATAAATCTTCTGTAGCTGCCTGTCTCTCCGTATAATGTATAAGAACAGTTGTCCGGAAGTTCTGATTTCATTTTCATTTCTTTCTGTCTCAAAGGTTCAATTTATGACCCCCAGGTATATTTAAAGGCTTCCAAGGTTCTATTTCGGTGACTATGTTGTCTAAAATATTATTCCAATTATCGACTCTGTCAGCTCTTAGACTAGCCCAGGGTCGGCAGCCGTGGAGCTTGACATATCTCCTCGTGTGCCAGACCATGCATCTAGGCCTATTCAGCTGGGATTTGTTGGATTAGCGTGTGAAACATCTTCATTCCCTGCATACTCCGGTACTAATAAAACATCCATATCAATCATCATTTAGAATTCGAAGGCTTAGTAATGATGTTATACAGGAACCAAGTCATCGCCGAACTTATTTTCCCGAAATCTAGTCGAATCAATTGCAAGCCGCCAGGGCTCAGCTGTCAAATTTCGAGTCGGTGGTACATCGGGTAACTTTTCTACCCTCCTCCTTGATCAAGCCGAAGCAATCATTATACCCACCAATGGAATTGGCAATAACGTGGCATACAACATTACCCTAGGACCATCCTGGTTTGAAGAATTCAAAAATTTCCCTGGTGTAGAACGGGTCTATCAAGTGTCTTTGGTTTATTTGAACAAAACAAACTCAATCGAGGGACTCAAAATTGCTGTATCCACGATCGGAGCAGATAATCTCTTTGCACTCGAGATTGGAAATGAGTTGAACTCATATCCGGCAGAATAGTCCCCAGAAGACTATGCTTCAGAGTGGCTGACCTTTGATAAAGCTATTCGGAGGGAAGTGCCGCTTCCTAAGAAGATAATCCAGGCAGGAACTATAGCCGGAGTGGGAGTTGGCGAGTGGACGTTGTCAGTGTTTGAGGAATGTTTCAAATCGAGCTTCATACTGATCTTTCATATAGACCGAACCTGTTTTCAACAGATATAGATTCCACAAATATGGTCAAGACAGAAGCGACGTACTACTACCAATGGTTCGGAGTCGACCCACCAGAGTTCGAACGTAATTTGTGCCGTTCAAAGGCTAAACGATCATTAGACTCTAGGTGATCTCATGAACTCATGAATCACACAGCACTTATTACCACTATGGCCAACATTACTTCGGCAGCCCAATTCTTGTCACAGAATTATCGTAATATCCCATTTGTCATGGGAGAGGTAGGTACATACCCCGGGGCAATCAACAACTATGAAGTGAAGCAATCCTTTGCTGCCACTCTTTGGAATGCCAAATTCATCCTCTTTGATCCTCTACGCCATGTCCCAGAATGTCTCCCGTGTCAACATGCAGCAAGGGCTAGGGTTTGGCTACTCAGCGTGGACTCCAGGCCCAGATTCTGATAATGGCAACCAGGGCCCGGGAATATGGGATCCTTACTATGCTTTTCCTTTTGCCGCCGACTTCATCGATGGGGCAACCGACCTACAAGTGGTACCGATCCTACAACAAGAGAAGCTTGTAGCATATGCAGGGTACGAGTCTGAGCGACTGTCTAAGCTAGTCATCATCAACCTGGAAGTCTGGAACACAACGAACTTTTCCCCTCGTCCTTCACGGGAGGTAAAGTTCCAGGTCCCCTCAAATATGGCAAAAGCCAAGGTTGAGAACTTGACGGCACCGGGGGCGGATGTTGGAGAGGACATCACTTGGGTGGGGACGAGTCGGACATATAAATCAATGGGTCTTCCGGCGCAGGTCATTCATGATACAGAGATAATTTCTGCTGTTCACCAGAGCCTAGCTGTCAATGTTCAGTAAAGTCAGGCGGTGATGATTTCCATGCTTTCTTGTGACCTTTTTGAGTGATCATGACGAAATTTATCCTTGCCAGATGTTGATTTGGATGTCTAGGCCGCCCACTTAAATTTGTTCTCGCATCTCGCTCTTTCTCTCTTCATAAATACCATATTACTACCTCTAGATTCTCGAGCCTTTCATCTGATTTCCCCCATGTATCGCTACCGTAGCACCCCGTGGGACCCCTTGGTTAATCCGCAGACTTCCATGGTTCTGGTATCGCCGTCTCTGCATTGTTGGTAAGAATCACGGACGATTCTTTATTTCTCAAAGGCATTGGCTGGTCAGTTGGTTTTGCTTCTACCATATCTGAGTTTGAAATTCGTCCATGTAATCCAGCACCAGCGACGACTCGGATATATATTAGCGCATTTGTATTATCTTAACTTCACTAGCGATCTTGAGGTCTGAACCCAAGCAGGAACTTACGTAAATGGGGGCCAAATTGAAACACGAATAGGAGGGCTACTTTTGTGTTGGCAAGGCGGCTGAGTCTAGGCACCGCCATTTGCGACCGTGTCATTTCTATCGGCCCCTTTCCATCACGAACACCTTTGGTCTTTTTTTTCCCTATTCCACTTAGGCCTTTGACTCATACCAACAAAATGTCATTCTACTTTCCCACCGAGTTCGAAGAAGATTACAAAAGAAGAAATCTCGCCCTAAGATATGGTGCGATCTCATCCAGCCTCCTGGGCGGCTTTTTCTTGATCATATGGCACACCCATATCGTTATCTACACAATACTGGTACACATTTAGCTCTCCTAGAGCAGCCAGATAATGACATGGAAACAAAGGCTCACGACTTGTACAGTTTATGCTGCTTCTAGCCTGGTCTAGTACGGCGACTTATATGGCATTTCAGCGAATTATAATCCAGCCTCTCATTAATACAGCCTGTGATGCTATATCTGCAGCATTCTTGTTGTGGATTATGCCTTTAATGATTTTTACTGGGGTTTTATACCTGAGCTTGCCTACCTTTGCCATGTGCTTCTGCTATATGATCGCTATGTATGAGATGATTCCTGTTCCTCCACTCGGATCCCGCAACTTACCAAAGTACTCTGCAGATATATCCACTCGGTGCTTGCCTTGCGCGAGTTTGTCAGATCTCGACAGTGATCTCATTTCACTTTTGGCCCCAGTCCTTTTAACTGCCACAGAAATGCAAAACTGGTAGATAAGATCAAGGAATGCAAGCTTGAACAGCATGTATTCGGATGCGGTGAACGGGACTATACCTGGGTATTAAATACTTAGAGCGAAAGAAGATGCCGGTCAAGTAGCCTTAGTTCCAGGAGCTCTGAGGTTCTAACCCCTTGAAAAGGGTAGAGAGGCTGATTGGGGAAGCCTGGCCTAATGATACTAGTACTATAATCCTAGGAGTAGATACGTGGATACCTATAGGAAAGAGGATCGAATAAATACATATGAGTCTTACTTTTTATGCCAGGTGGCATAGGACATATACTGGCATCTAACTTGATTTAGGACGCAAGTTCGGGATCACTAAATAATGGTGATGAATTAGATTCTTTCTAGACTTCAAAGGGTTGTCGGTAACAGCTTCCACACATCTTGCAAGTTTGCTCTTTATCAATTGGAGCTACACCCCCCAAATTAGGTCCCTTCGAGAAAATGGCGAAATTATGCCGGTCATTGACCAATGATAGAGGGAAAAGCTCTCTTTGTGGACATATGTGCTTGAGTGAAGCATCCGTTGTTGGCTCTCGTAATCCGGAGGCAGACCCGTTTGGTTGGTGATAATAATTGATCAAATGCCAGTGCTGACCGGTAGGGCTGGCTATGCTAAATGAGAGCTTCATGAGTTGTGATTCGGGCCGATGGGCGGATTGATCATCGACTATTCCAACAACTGATCGGAAGTCTCTTTTTTTGCATGGGTCCTCTGATGTGATGTCCGATTCCGGTGCAGGCTCCGCCACCGATCCACTGGATTCTTTGAGCTTCATTTCTCTGTAAACGAGAAATCGCCCGGAAACTCGACTTGGACTCCATTTCCTCCCGTCTGTCCACCTTCTCAGTCCACTTTCATGCTCCTCCCAGATAAATACGGAGCCATTTCGAATGGATCGTCCCTCTTTTGGTGATAATCGTTTGCCAACACGAGGCAGAAACCCATTATAGCAGGCCTGAATGAGAAGAATAGCGTCCGCTGGCGTGCGGATGTATCCATTATAAGTCTCCATTTGATCTTTTGACCTGGGCTTTTGTCCACCCCAACTGTCGACGAATTCAAATTTTGCTATTAAATGTGATGGACCTGCTACCAGAGACCAGTGAGATTCTCTGTTATAGCGAATAATGATGCCTGCGAATTGAGAGTTAGCTTTTGTAATTGACCAGATAGTTGGGCTACCTACAAGCACAGCCGATGGGAACAGGTGAAGTTTTCGTAAACGTGGGAGAAATTTTAAGCTTATGCATCTGCAGAAATTATTATTTCTGGAATTACCACCCTCAATGCATGACCACGAAGAAGGGTATCTCCAAATAAGATGACAGTGGGGATGCTGAGAAGGACCTATCGGAGAATCTACCGCCAAGAAAACCCAGAGGTTCTTTTCTAGGCAGCAATCACCGAGCTCGGGGTTAGTGTAAACCATGGTACACACAATCATTGAAAAACAATTACTCGTGTCCATTACTAGTACGACCCACAGCATCCGAATTCCGCGGACTCCGACCGGGGCCGTGTTTTATAATTACGGCACCTGGGCATGTCTGGGCAGTGACTTTCTTCCTGAGAATTCTCACTAAAAATGGCTATTGGTAACCATGGAATTTCTATTTCTATTTCGACCAGAATCTATGTGTTTCCAAGATATCCGAGCACCTTCTCAACCAAGAACTTTCGAGGCTCAGCCTGGTCATCATTGCTCAGGGCATGGGATGCATTGGGTATTATTGCAGAGTGGTCATCATCCCAGACATTAGCATCACTGCTGCTGTTGGTGGCATTCTTCCATCTCTTTAGCAAGTTCTCCTTATCAACCCAGTCCGGCACTGACTGGTCGGCCCCAGAAAACAGAACCATCAATTTGTGCTTCAGCAACCCTTGTTGCTTAACCATGCCAAAAGTCTTTCCCAGTTGCTCGTCGCTGAGATCAGAGCTGAATAGGTCATCCTCCGACGGGGAGTGAGGACTATTCAGACTGATCAGACTTAGGAATCTTCTGCAGCTGATTGCAGTATTCCCAGGATAGATATTGCTGGTCAACGACAGAGGTAGCATGGTGTCAAATGTGTTGTCACTTCGAGCAGCCTCCTTCGCAAAAGCTTCCATCTTATCATACACCACTCGGATCTCACTTGGTGACTTTCCTCCGATTCCGTGTGTAAGGACCCAGAAAATAGCCTCGCGGTCAGAAACTGGTGCCTGCATAATCGCTCCGTCAAGGGGCATGCGCTTGATATGCTGAAGCCCAGAATCGAAGGATGGCGTGCTGGTATGTGGGTTTGGTTGGGAAAGGTAATGCAGTACACATTGACTACCTGTAGAGTGACCCATTAGGACAATCTTTCCGGCGCCATATTTCTCCGATTTGTAGTCCTTGATGTAGTTCAGACACTGAGCGATCTCATTCGTGTCTCGGTCGAGATGCCCCAGACCCCAGGATTGGTATGAGGATGTGAGGTTCAACGAGAAGACAGACCATTCTGTTTTCTGAAGCGCCTGGACCAGGTCGGCCATGTAGGAAGTGGTTGCTAGGCCATCTCCTAGGCCTCCAAGGAAAACAAGACTATGGGGTTGGCGAATGGCATTGGAAGTGTACTCGAAAGTAACCAGGCTCTCTGTCTGAGATCAACGAAAAGACACTGTTAGCAGTGGTCACATTTTGAAAATACCATTAGAGCAGTCACTCACATAATGGTGTAGAAGGCCAGGTAGTCCGCCCTTGGGCCAGAATTGGGAATACATGTCTGTGACGGAAAATTTATCACCTAGCTGAAAAGAGGCGATTTGCAGGAACGAACGAGAGTTCCCAAGTTCAAACTGGCTTATGTATCAGGTGATCCAACTACCGAGGCAGACTCGTTATCAGATCGAATTTCTGCAGTGAACTGTCAGAGTCCTTGCAATTTGTGGGTTCAAACTGTGGCACGTCAAGAGCGAGAGTTCCGATCCGAGATCACCCCACTCCGTTGAGCCCTTACGTACTCCAAAAGCACGCCCTATAAAATACGACCAAGACAATTGAGACACTATTTGACTATCATGGTAACGATCCACAGGGTCCAACCTGCAAAGATATTAAGCGGAGACTTTGTTTGTAATACCACTGTATTACATGTTCAATAATACCACTCACACTAGCGCATGTATTTCCTCTGTAAGCCCCAGTGGAATGACATGTGGTGGATCTCGGGGTTATCAACTATCGCCAATAAATCGTAAACTGTTCCAACGGTACGCCCGAAAGCACTAGGCGGAGGTGAAAACCATGGAAAATTTAATCAGATTTTGTGGCTGACGTTGAGCCGATCTGATAGGAGATTCCGTCGGAGAAGCCCCTCAACTCGGATATTCCAAGAATACTATTCGTAGTTGGGAGAGCGCCACCCTACTATAGTCCTGACTTGCACGACCAGACCTGTGCAAGCCAAGCAAATAAAATTGCCTACGAAGATCTTTCGAGTTTGTTTAGAATAGCATTATCGAGTCACAACCGCGCGCGCCGCGAATTATGTACGACATGGGTGCAATAAGGCCAACTTTCTTAGTAACTCCTGTCGGCAGAGGCCGAATGCAACCCTCGTTCTTTAACATGGACCCTCCACAGAAGGTGCCACTTGAGCCGTGGGGCAAGGATCCAGTTTTCCTGAGGAGTTTGGACCTCGGGCTTTACGCGGCGAGAGGAAGTGCGCCCTACGTAATTTCTAAAACAAGACTAAGGTGGATCTCGTGTCGTAGGGCCCAGGTTAACGAACCCGAGTCGAACGAAGATAGATTTACGGATAGATGATAAAATCTTGATATCCCTGGTACGACTGATTCAATTCCCGAAGGGCAATCCAGATCAGATAACTTCGTCTTGCTCCACCAGCTAGCGTTAGAAGTACGGTTGGACTGGGTCTCTGAATTGGCGCTTCTGCTCCATACACCTCGGTTAGCTCTGCCCTTTGGTCAAATACAGGAGCTTTGATTTTCTCGGCAAAGGTTTCGGTCTAGAAATCTCTTTATTATTGTCTACGAAGCGAGTCATTCCGAATATTGTGGGTGCTTGTTGAATCCGTTGCTTTCCGGAACGGCCGACTTCCCCGACACCGGAAGATTGCATACTTTGCCAGTTAGGTGAGCCTTGGTTACTTTCAACTTGAAGTTTTGAGCAATTGAGTGGAGATATCAGGTCTAATACATCATACACTAGCTCTGCGGTCCTCGATACCCCTTGCCTTTCGACACCCCAAACTTCCGCGATCTATAGCGACCGCTTCATGTCACCAAAATGGCACCTATAGGCATAAACGACATTCTTGAGCGCAATGACAGAGGACATGGGTCTGTTGGACCAACCCAAAGTTTTGAAAGCGGCGATGCCAGAAGCTTTGAGGTAGTTGGTCTTGCATCCGATGAGACAACACCCACTGGCATGAAAGAAGACGTTTTGCTTCTTTCGTGGCTGGCAATGCTTTTAAAAACACGAGAAGGTGCCCAAGTCTCATTTGAATGGGCCTATGGTATTTCGGGGGAAAGCAGTCGGTTATCAATGAACGAAGTTGTGAAGGGGCTGGAAGAAGATATCATGGATGCTTCCGCAGCCATTCGAAAGTATATCACTTCCGCGGTGCCCAACGACAAATCTCCGGTCACATCTCCGGTTCCCCTAATTCTGACTACGAATTCATTCTCAAGCGATTCAGAAGATACCAAAGAAGAAGTAAGCGAGGCCCCAACTTCAGCAAAAATGGACTTGTTTTGACTAAAGTGATAAAGGGCACAATCCATCTTGAACTGCGGTTTAACAACAATCACCTTTATATTCGACCACTTTGGACGACTGAGAACATTCTGCCTTACACATTATCACTATGCATTGAGACACTGGTTGAAACCATCAAGATGTGTCTCTCAAGTCCCTTTTTATCGATTCAAGATTGTCTCCGACCAGGTGCTCGCGACTTGAAAGACATTTGGGGGTGGAATCACATCTTGCCTCCAAGCTATACATTCGGGATGCATGAAGAAATCTCAAGGCGTTCCCAAACGCACCCAAGTAAAGTGGCAATCTCTTCTTGGGACGGTGAGTTGACATATGGTCAAATCGAACATTACTCCGACTTTGTTGCAGACTCTCTGAGTCAATCAGGAGTGCAACTTCAAGACTTTGTCCCAATTTGCTTCGAGAAATCATGCTGGACTATCGTCGCTGTGCTTGCTGTGATGAAGGCCGGTGGAACCATGGTCATGATGGATCCGACTTTGCCTCTTGCGCGTCTGCAAAACATGGCCAGTCAAGTTAGCGCAAAGACAATCTTGTCATCTTCAAAGCAAAAGGAGTTCTCAAGAGAAATTTTGCCAATTGGGGACCTGGTTGTCGTGGAGGGAAAATCTTTCACGGGCATCCCTGGGCCTGAGGAAATCACAAAACTGCCTTCTGTGCCGGGTTCAACTTTGATGTATCTCATTTTCACATCAGGAAGCACGGGAACACCAAAGGGTGTCAAAATCTCCCATGAATCATACACCAGCAGTGCATTCCCTCGCGCGAAAGCAGTGGGTTATGATGAAGACTCAAGAGTTCTTGACTTTGCCTCATACGCCTTCGACGTTAGCATCGATAGTATGCTTTTGACTCTCGGGAACGGCGGCTGTCTTTGCATTCCCTCTGACGAGGACCGACTGAACGATATCAACGGAGCCATCCGGCGAATGCGGGTCAACTATGCTGGTATCACCCCTTCGATGGCTCGTATTTTAGAGCCAGATGTCATTGCTTCTCTCAGTGGCCTAGGTCTTGGCGGAGAAGCTGCTTCCCCTAGCGATGTCAATCTGTGGGGCCAGGATGCCAGAATCATCATTGGCTATGGACCCTGTGAGTGTACCATCGGCTGCACAGTGAATAGCAGCGCTGCTACCGGGCGGGACTACATTTCAATCGGAACGGGAAATGGAGCAGCAATCTGGATTGTCGATCCTAATAACCATGAAATACTCATGCCCGTCGGTGCTGTTGGCGAGCTACTAGTTGAAGGCCCAATTGTTGGGCAAGGATACTTGAATGATCCAGAGAAGACTGCTGCCGCCTTCATCAAAGATCCAAAATGGCTGCTTGAAGGCCATGCTGAATTTACTGGGCGCAGTGGTCGGCTTTATAAGACCGGAGATCTTGGTAAATATGATCCTGATGGTTCAGGTGGTATCGTATTTGCTGGCCGCAAAGATACCCAGGTCAAACTGCGAGGTCAACGTGTCGAACTTGGGGAGATCGAGAGTCAACTCAGATCCAAGCTTTCTTCCGAAATAAGCGTGATCGTTGAAGTTATCAAGCCAGATGGATCTGGCCAGCAGACATTAGTGGCATTTGTCACATCTCAGTCTATTTCAGGCTCAGACAACAGTGATATCAGATCGACTCAGCTCTCTGATGATCAGCGCAAGTCTCTTGCTGATGCGAATACAAAGATCATGGCTGTTCTTCCAAGATACATGGTACCAACCGCATATATACCAGTTAACTGTCTCCCAGTCTTGATCTCAGGAAAGACAGATCGCAGACGTCTTCGTCAGTTTGGCGCAACAGTGGACTTACGACAGCTGGGTCTGGGATCTGAAAACACTGCCATGCGCGAATTGACTGAGGTCGAGGAGCGACTTCGACAGTCATGGGGTCAGGTCTTGAAGCTTGATGCAGAAGGAATCCGACCTGATGATAACTTTGTCACGTTGGGTGGTGACTCTTTGGCCGCCATGAAGCTTGTTTCGGTCTGTCGAGAACAGGGACTTGATGTCACCGTGACTAACATTTTCGGTCACCCAGTCTTGTCTGAAATGGCTGTTGTAGCCCGGGTCTGTGAAGTCGAGACACGACAAGAAGTCCCCACCTTTTCAATGATCTCCCAATCTATTCAAAGCGCCACTTCTGAGGTCTCGGAGGTTTACGGCTTCGATGCCGCAAAAGTCCAAGACATTTATCCGTGCACGCCGACACAAGAGTCACTTTTCACTTTCTCTCTGAAGTCTGATAAGGCTTACGTTGCTCAGAGAGTTGCAACCATTCCAAATCACGTCAGTCTCGGAGCGTGGAAGAATGCCTGGGAAGAAGTTGTCAGACAAAGTCCTATTCTTCGCACTCGGGTGGCACAGTTGCAGGAGCCTGGTCTTCAGCAAGTCATTTTGGACGAAGATATTTCATGGAAACATCCAACTGACTTGGTTGAATATTTGGGAAGAGATAGGGGTGAAAAGATGAATCTTGGCGAAAGCCTCGCTCGATATGCCATTGTGGAAGATGTGACAAACAACAAGCGCTACATGATTTGGACCGTCCATCACGTACTTTATGACGGCTGGTCTGAGCCTCTCATCCTCAAGAAGGTGCTTGATGTCTTGGACAGCAAGCAACTCGGACCTGAGACTCAGATGAGAGACTACATTAAGTATGTGCGTGATACAGACGAGAAGGCCATGGAAGAATTCTGGCGGCGAGAGCTTGACGGTGCAGTTGGCCCTCAATTTCCTCGTTTGCCATCCCGAGACTTTTTACCAACACCTGACGGGTTTATCGAGCATCAGCTTGCTTTTACCATGCCGGAAGGCGCATCTTTCACTATGGCCACTTTGATTCGTGGCGCTTGGGCCCTGGTGGCATCTCAGTACACGCGAAGTGACGATGTTGTATTTGGTGAGACTCTGACCGGTCGCGATATTGCACTGAGGGGAGTTGAAGGAATCATCGGCCCGCTTATTGCAACGCTCCCTGTGCGTGTCAATGTCAACCGACTGGCTACCGTGGAGTCATATCTCCACAATGTGCAGAAGATGATTCTTGCTCGCGTACCATATCAGCATATGGGTATGCAGAATATCAGAAAGGTCAGCCGTGATGCTCAGCACGCTTGCGAGGCTGGTACTGGCTTGGTCATTCAACCTGAGCCTGATAACTCAGCAAGCGAGCTCGGGCTCGAACAGGGAGACGTGGCCCGAGAAGCCCTTCATTTCAATCCTTATCCACTTATGTTGGCATGTGGAATTCGCAAGAATGGCTTCAGAATATGCGCTAGCTTCGACAGCAGCCTAATCTCAGTCGCGCAGATGAAACGTGTATTGATGCAACTCGAAACCGCATGCCAACAGCTGACCAAGAATATGTCAAGAAGCGTTGGAGAATTATCGTGTCTTCCGGAGGTCGAGTTGAGTCAAATTTGGAATTGGAACCAAACAGCGCCGCTGTCCGCAAACGCGGAGCAAAAGAGATTCCAGGCAGATTCCAGCATCAAGCAAGGTGCAGCTTACCCTCAAGCACTTGTTCCTTGGGTTTGTGACCCGCGTAATCCGTTTATTCTTTCGCCCATCGGATGTGCTGGTGAACTTTGGCTTGAAGGATCTCTTTTGTCAGGTGAAACAATTGACAGCCCCGACTGGCTCGTGGCCGGAAGTTCTGAAATTCCTGGCCGAGAAGGACAGCTTCAGGCAACTGGGGATATGGTTCAGCTACTTGAAAATGGTAGCTTGGTGTTTGTTGGGCGCAAGGAGAATGTCGTGCCAGCTCAAGGACACGCCGTTGACATCGCGGAGGTCGAGGTAAACATCGCCCAGCAGCTAGATCCTTCTGTTATCTCTGCTGCAGCTGTGGTCCAGAGCAATCCTTCCCAGACAAGGAAATCGATGGAGCAGCAACTCATTATCTTCATCGAGCAAACACCGATTGACGGGGACATCGTGTCACTACTTTCGGAATCGCGTCAAATCAGTTGCGAAATTCCCGGTCAATATTTACACGCAACCATCAGCTCGACAATTTCCGTTGAACTTGCTCTGGCATTGAAAAAGCTGAACAGATTTGCTCAAGACAACCTGCCGTCCTATCTGGTCCCTACAGCATATATCGTGATCGAGCGGATGCCCACTCATATGGATAATGTTGATCATAATCTGCTCAATAAACTGGCATCAAACATTCCTTCCGACTTGCTTGAGCAAATCAGACAGTCATTTGAGACGGCGTGGGAAAGCAACGCCGTCCGAAGCAGTTTGACACCGTCCGAAAGCATCCTTCGATCGGCATGGTCAAAGATTCTAGCCATTGTGGAAGAAAGGATAGACGTTGACGACAATTTCTTCCGACTAGGTGGTGACTCCGTCTTAGCGATGAAGTTGGTATCATCTCTTCGCTCTCAAGGACACGGTTTGACGGTCGCGAACATTTTCCAAAACATGCGCCTGGGTGATGCTGCGAAGGTACTGAAGGTTGATCAAGCTTCAATAAGCAAGGCCCTAGCTTATCGACCATTCTCTCTTGTGGATCATTCCGACCTAGAAATGTTTTTGTCGACCTTTGTCCGACCGAAGCTTGCCAATCCGAGTTGGAAAATTCGCGATGTGTACCCAGTGACAGATTCACAAGCACTCGATATCAAGGCAACTATTCAGCCACCACGTACTTCAATGCAGTACACTATGCTATATTTTGATGGAAAAATCAGTCGCGATAGGTTGCTCCGGGCTTGTGGTGAACTCATAAAAACACACGACATCTTGAGAACAGTCTTCATTGAGCATGAGTCAACATTCCTCCAGGTCGTTTTGGACGGAATTTACGCGCCCATGGTGACGCAAAGGGCCGAGAAAGAACTGGAGCAAACTGTTGTTGATGTTTGCACCTCTCACGCTGAGGAAGATTTCCAACTGGGATCGCCATTTTTCAAGATTTTCCATGTCCAAGAAACCGATGGCCGCGAATGTCTTATCCTTGGTCTCTCCCATGCGCAGTATGATGGTGTTTCGTTACCTCGCCTTCTGCAGGATTTGGAAGCACTGTATACTGGAAGCGATATTCTGGATTACGTGCCATTTTCTACGTACATGGCTCGTATATCGGATAGCCGCGCAAACAGAAAGGCTATTTCGTACTGGGATAAGCTTCTGGCTGGCTCATCCATGTCAATCCTGGAAGGAAAATCGGGACAGCCTACGGAGAAGGCAGTGTTCCACACAAAGCCCGTCGAGGTTTCCTTTTCTCTCGATGAAATAACCACTGCAAGCCTACTCACGGCTGCATGGGCATTGGTCTTGGCCCGCGACCTTCAGCAACCAGATGTGACTTTCGGAAGTGTTACGTCGGGTCGAATGCTTGACTCCGCGGATGTGGAAAATGTCATGGGACCATGCTATCAGCTGACCCCTGTCAGGGTTCCTTTCGAAGCCAACTGGACTGGCATGGACTTGCTGAAATTCGTTCAGAAGCAAGGTGCTGAGTCTGCAGCCTATGACTTTGTCGGCTTCCAGAAAATTTCACAGCAATGTGCTAAGTGGCCCTCGGATGTGCAGTCGTTCGATTCCCTTGTGCATCATCAAGACTGGGATGACTTTGACACTATGCCATTTGCGGGAGAGTCTCTCAAGGTGGATATACTGAATCCCCACGGAGATTCCCCTAGTCCATTGAAGGTGGTATCTTATCTCCGCGAGGGGCAGATGCACGTTGGACTGGTTGGATGTGAAAGTGAGACGGAATTTGTGGACAAGCTTCTTGATCAACTAGTTTCTACAGTTCAGAAACTTGGGGTTCATCAATCAGAACTTTTGTTCGATGCCAATTTCTTTTGATTTCGGATCGCAAACATGCATCACACTTTTTGTAATTTTTAGCAAATTGATATTGAATTGTTTGTTTTTATTATTATAGTCGCACATTACTACTAGTATTAAATAGTTAGTACTGTTCCATTGAATTATCTTTATTGAAGTTATATTCAAGTTGTTCTCGCTTTACTTGCTTGAAATATCCTACTACTAGCTCTATAATCTCAAAGATACTCGAGTGAAAGCTAACTCAAGAGTTCAAGTTCCTGCTATTCCAAGATTTAGCTGTTTCCCAGGTGTCAACCTTGGAAGTTGCGGCGGCAAGCTTCCGGGCCTGGGAATAATACAATACTGGTACTAGTAGGTACATATGTTATACTAGTAGGTATGATGGAGAAAAAAATGAACGTGAGGGAATATTATTGTCTAGGTAGCAAATTAAAAGTTCAAATCTAATTCTCGAAATACTATAAAACAGATTTTTAATCCGTGGCCACTGTTTGATGCATAACATTAGCCCGATAACTCTCCGATCTCTCGAGTAACTGTTCATGCGATCCCTGATCAATGCATTGACCGGCTTCAATCAGGAAAATAACATCTGCTTTTCTGATCGTACGCAAGCGATGGGCAATTGCAATGACTGTAATGCCTCTCGCGGCCTTCTCAAGACCGTCTTGCAGAAGCTTTTCAGACTCGGCATCTAAAGCACTAGTTGACTCATCGAGAATCAACAGCTTCGGCTTCCGGACAAGAGCACGTGCAATCGACAGCCGTTGCTTCTGACCTCCAGAGAACTGGCTGCCATTAGGTCCACACATAGTCTGATACCCATCTGGTAACCCGATGATAGTCTCGTGTATGTTTGCAAGTTTGCAGGCCTCTTCTATTTCGGCCAGGGTAACATCGCGTCCTGGTGCAGCACCGAGACCGATATTGAACTCGATGGTCCCTTCGAAGAGGACACTCTCTTGAGGCACGAGCGAAATTGTGTCACGGAAAGAGACGCCGTGTCCCTTGGTCACATCAAATCCATCCACAAGAATAGATCCGGCCTCTGGTGTATAGAGACGCTCAACAAGTGAAATGATCGTCGATTTTCCGGCACCACTTGGTCCAACCAGAGCAGCAAATTTGCCTGGTCGAATGTCAATGTTCAAGCCGTTGAGAATCTTCATGTCTGGACGAGCTGGGTACGCAAAGTGAACATCGCGGAATTGAACACCTGAAGCTTGACCATCGGAAATGATAGGCTTCGGCTCTGCCGTTGCTTCAGGGTCGCTGTTCTTCAAGTGATCAGTTTCATCATGGCTTGGCACCTTTCCACTCATTTTTTCAGAGCCAAGTTCGATAAGGCCGAGAATGCGAGCCATCGCATTCCGAGCATTTGTAAGTTCGGGTGCCAGCGCGAACATTTGACTCCAGAGAAGAGCACTAACAAGCAGAGAGAAAACAACGATCAAAAACTGAGTTTGAGTGTAAGTACCCGCAATAATTTGCTTAGCACCCCACCAGTACGCCAAAGCATTAACACAATTTCCAAGGAAATACGTTGTTGCTTGCCAAAGGCTGGCATGAAGGGTGACCTTCAGGGTCTCCTTCCGGGGACCTTTCAAAGACTGTCGGTAGCTTTTGAGGATATCCTTTTCAAGAGAGAGCGAGGCGATTGTTTTGATAGAAGTAACAGCCTCCACGCCAATATCGACTGACTTTGTGTATGCAGTTTCGTGTTTTTCTTCGAATTTGCCCAAAACGTGGAGTTCCATCAGACCTGCTCCTAGGAGAAGAGGTACCAGCGCCAGACAAACTAACGCAATCTTCCATGCAATAATATGCGTCAGAATAATTGCGGCAATCAGATTAACTGTGATCGAGATCAAGGTTCCAATAACCGAGCCACTCAAACCGGCCAAAGCATTTCCGTCTCGGGTGATATAAGATAGAAGTAGTGCTGGAGTTCGGCCCTTGGACTGGTGCCATTGCAGATCTTGCTCGAAGAGTGAGCGGAAGGACAGAACACGGACAGTATAAACCATTTTTTCTGAGACCCAGCCAAATCCTGCCCAGCTGACCAGGTTTGAGAAAAACTCGATAATGGCGAGAACGAAGAACATGAGTCCAAAGAAGTTACCACTTGACCGGATGCTATCCGCGCTCTTGCAGGGATTGAGGCTTCCGACAGTATTGCCGAAAATGACAGCCTCGCCGGAGAACGCTCCACCAACGATGACAGATCCGATCAAAGCCACGAAAACGATCAACAAGTGCGGCTTGATAGCCGGACCATATCCGCGCAGAATAGCCCAAAGTGATTTCTTCGGGGTCTCCGGCTCTTCCTCCTCTTCTGGGGTAGCGGAAACCTGGACTTCAGTTGCAGAGGCTTTGCAGTTTTCGTCAGGTGTGATATCATTAGAGCCGCTCTTCTCAATTTCTGTGTCTGTCAAGGAACTCTGGTCAGATTTGCTGATGCTGTCAACGCTTACACTGGTGTCGGTCTTTCCGGAGCTACCACCAAGTCCTTGCATATAAATGAGATTGGCATAGGTTCCATTCAAAGCCATCAATTCTGAATGACTACCCTGTTCCACAATATGTCCCTTGTGCATGACGATGATGTTGTCCGCGTTGGTGATGGTTGATAGGCGATGGGCAATTGTGATCATAGTTCTGCCGCTAGAGATCCTGTTGATGGCATCTTGAATGCGACGCTCCGTCCGGGAGTCGAGGGAAGCGGTAGCTTCATCGAGGATGAGTACCGTGGGGTCTCTGATCAAAGCCCTTGCGAGAGATACACGTTGCTTTTGACCACCGCTAATCAAACGACCACTGGAGCCCACGCTAGTAGCATAGCCATGGTGGAGAGCGGAAATGAAACCATGTGCGTCTGCGAGAGCGGCGGCTTCTTGGACAAGTTTCACAATTTTGACAACCTCCGCTCCACGACTTTCTGCAGCAGTCATCAAATCCATGCCATCTCTGACTTCACTGGCGAGGCCCTCGAGATCAGATGCTACAAGTGCAGCCTTCAGCTCCTTGTGCTCAGGGTTACTGGAACTCATCAAGCCATGAGCAATGTTTTCTAGAAGCGAGCGATCCAGGAGTGACGGTTCCTGCTGCACTAGGCTGAGGAAACTCCTCAGATCACGCGTATTGATATCCCGCAGATTATGTCCATCGAACAGAATTTCTCCTTGATTAGGATCGTACAGTCGTGTAACAAGACCAGCAATAGTCGACTTGCCACTTCCAGAGAGACCAACAAGGGCGGTGTGTTTGTTTGCTGGGATGCTCAGGCTGATGTTATCGAGAACAGTGATTTCAGGTCGAGATGGGTAAGAGAATGAGACATTGTTGAACTCGAATCCTCCTTGCGCCTCAGTGAGACGAATACCCGAGTCGGTAGTGCCATCAATCTGAGGCTCACGTTCCATATCTCCACGAAGCTTCTCGTATGAGGCAACGGCGGCGGTGAAAAGGTGGAGGAACGGTGCAACTTGACTGAGGAGTAGAGTAGCTAAAGCAGTGTTAGCGCAGTCACACACAATTCGAGGGGGGATAGGAGCTTGCCTTCAACGAGAATGAAGATAACGGTGAAAACAGAGCCGACAGTAGACCCAGCATTGGAACCATCAACTGATTCAGCAACCTTCCTACTTCCCTGCCAGAAAGCTAGGCCGTTTGCTGAATAAGCAATAAAGTAAAGGAATCCGGCTTGGACACCAATAGCGGTAGCCTTCTTCATTCCTTCACGCTCACTCCCCTTGAGAGCCTTAGAAAATTTCTCCTCTAGGCGAGTGTTTGCGCCGAATGCCTGGACGACGGTAAGGTTGGAAAGTGCCTCGGAGGCAATCGAAGCGGCAGATGCAGCATAATCCGATACGCGGGAAGAGTACTTCTCGATGTAGTAACTTCCGATAAATGACATCAAGAAGTAGGCGGGAATCAAGGAGATAAGCATGGCTGCCAGCACAGATTGCTTGATAAAGGCGACGATGTAGGCGGTAAGGAAGAAGGAGAAACTTGAAATACAAATCCCGACCTTTTCAGATGATCCTGAACGAATTGTCTGGATGTCCGTGTTCAATCGTGAGGCGACCTCACCAGGAGGAAGGTTGTCGAAAAATGATGGTTCTTGTCGTAGCAGGTTTTGTAGATATCTCTCGCGAAGTCGCTGCGCTAAGCGTGCACCGTAGGTAGTCCAACAGGAAAGGTGAATGTAGATTGTGACGAATTGTGCAATGGCCAAGTAGAAGATGATCAAGATTTTGGAGTTGATATCGCCTTGTTCCGAGGAACCAGACGCGGCAGTCGCAGTCCCGGCGGATGCGTTACAAGTAGCCTCATTAAAGTCATCGAGCAATTGGCCGAAGAGAATACCGATCAAAGGAAATGGCACACCAGATGCGCAAGCAGCAACAAAGCCGGCAAACAGCATTCCCAGCTCGATCTTTGAAGGACCTCCAGCAAGGATCATGCGGGGATAGCCCGCCATCTTGGAGAGAATTCCCATTTTGGTTCAGATTTTGGCGCGTTGGCCTGCAACACGAATTAAGGAAGCCGCTGATTGATAAGATTATGCTGCTAGAAGGGCAGCAGTCACGTCGTCAGGAACTAGGCTATCCACTCAGCGACGAGGGACGATATATGTGAATGCCACGTTTTAGGAAACACTGGCAACTTCTGAAGATCGATAGAAGCATGTAGGAAGCTCGAAGGAAGCTCGAGCATGTTAAAGGTTAACATCTCTCTTCAAGAAAAATCCCCAGGGGCTTGCCGATAACCCAAATGGGCTTAGGGCTCAGCCGACATCGGTCCACATCAAACCGGCTTGCATTGAGTCTCAGCAGATCAAACCCACAAGAGGAGCACAACGACACGAGCTCAATTAGCGCAACACCGCGCCCTACGGGTGTGAATATGGGACTTCGTGAAGTGGAGTGGGGTGCGGATTTCTCAATACGCGCGATATACGGAATGGTGTACTAGCGGTCATTTTGTCTTGTATTTTGTATTTGTACTTGTAATATTCATATGGATACTATCAATCTCGGATTTCAACTCCATTTTCAGTCCACCCACACGACCTGTCGAAATGAGCAGATTATTAGTCTCCACTCTCCCCAATATAGTCCACGAAAGTGGAATTAATTGGGTCGGTTCCCGGCATATTGACTTATCGTTCTGACACGCGAATCCCGAGGGGGTCTTTCTAGCTCGGCCTAATCGGGCCTTTTCCGGTGGGGATTTGTCTTCGAGCAAACAATATGCTCCAAGGCAACAGTATTTGATTTCAAAAGCAGAGAAAATATTCATTCAACTAAAATAACGTTGCTGTTTATGGCATCGCAATTTTTAATGTACATGCAATCTGCATTCTCGATATCAGATCTAGCAATATAGTATTAAATCTAGGATTACAGCTTAGCATTCCACGCAGCACGATCGGCCGATTCGAGCGGTCGCTCACGGCCGTCCCACCAAAGTGGACACAGCTGGAACCACTTTTCCCTGCTTGCATTAGAATGAACCGATCGTTTATGACCCAAATCAACGTATTTTCCGATTGTTAGACCCTGGGCGTTCTCGTAGGAGAGAATAATCGCCCCCGCGGCTTTAGGTTCTCCCACCACGTTCGCGGTTCGAGGATCGTCCAGAAAACAGTAATGAATGCAACTGGAGTACCACGCATTTACTCGTTTCGCGCCGCGGAATGAGGAGTCTCCCACAAGAGAGTGGCGACCGCGATCGTAGTCACCAGCGTCATAGTGCGCACCATAGTGGTCCTCCTAAACAAGAACATCGGGATTAGCAACTCGATACAATAAACCGTGTTACGGAACGGCAAAAATGGACTAACCTTAGACCAATAAAGCTCATAGTAGGAGAAGCGCGTCTCGTTGAACCGACCGAACAAACAAAGCACATGAGGATCGAAGTGTAACTTGCGAAGATATTCGCGATGTTCATCCAAGGTGCCAGTCTCGTTCCATCCCTGCGCAACACGTGGGTCATTTTGCCATTTATTGAAGATCTCCAAATGTTCGAGGTTCTGCCAATCCACCACCTCAAGAGAAAAGTGTTCATCTATCTCAGGGATATATCGGCTGTAGGCGATGGAACCAGGGTGCGGTTTGGGACGGCGTGTCGGATGCCGGGTATATACGGGCTCGGCAGGGAACTTCGATGTCATTTGGTAGTTCTCTGGCATGATGGGATAGCTTGCCAGCGTCTCTCGTACAGCACCGTCTGTGCCGTCTCCCAGGGCCCATATCGGACGAGGGCCTAAGGGAGAAGCGGCTCCCTGCCAAAAGGAACTGCGGAGCACCAACAACTCATCAAACTCCTCAGAACCTTTGGACCAAGGCTGGAAGGGCTTGGGGTGAACAATCGCTAGTCCAGTGGACAACAGTTCGCTTCGAATGACATCGTTACCCGAACCTTGAAGATGCAGCCGGAAATATTCGTTCGTCGGGTGTGCGAGGTTGATTGCGTGAATCACGTTCCAGATCTGTCCCAGGGAAGGCGCATTATCTCCAGACCATTCAAATGTAGTCTCGGGGCTTCGGCGTGCCCGGCCCCAAGCAGTATTATCGTTGATAGGTGGTCGTTGGGCTGATGGAATGAGGGAAAGCTCGCGCCAAGTCAAAGAATCGAGGTGCAGAGGCTTAGGCAAAGGACGTCCATTCGCAGGTTGGCTGTCAAATGCCAAATTGAGCTTGACTATATTTGTATCTGAGACAGCATTGATTCGATATGCGGTTAAAAAAGGATGTGGTAGCTTCACCAGTGGATAGTATTGGTGTGAAGAAGCTGACGCCATTGTGGTATAAATGAAAGTATAAGCTTGAACAAGAGCAAGAAATTCTGCAGGATATAGTGGCTTTTGAATGCCATTTATGTCCGAGGGTTACTAGTATTCCGTAATCTGACGTAGTAATAAATATTAGTAGACAAACTTAGTCCCTTCCCCAAAATTACCAAACGGGGCAACGATGCCGAGACGATCCAATTAGGTCGAAAGTCAGCATTGGCAAGGGCTTCCAAGGGTTCTGGTACTTTTGGTTTCGGATTTCAAGCAAATTTCCATTTCCGAATCCGAGTCATACGGAGTAAAATAGATAAATATAATTTCTAATTCTTGGAGCCTCGGCAGGAACGAAACTACCGGATGGCGTTACTTCCTTCCGGAGTTGTCGAATCTTGGATGATTTTCCTAAGATGACTTTTATTAGTATTATTGAAGTTGCCTTTTACTCGGAGTACCTGGGTATAATACTACACTTCCCATTCACCTCACCTCACCTCACACGCAACAGCCATCATGTCTCTACGAAACAAGTCCCTCGGCTATCAAAACTTCTCTCTCTCATTTCCTAGCGAGCGCATCCTCCAAGTCACCCTCAACAGACCGCAAAAGCTCAACTCAATCGACAAAGCTACGAGTCGCGAGATTCAGCGGGTTTGGGAGTTATTTGACCAAGACGAAACTCTATGGGTCGGAATAATCACAGGCAAGGGTAGGGCCTTCTGCACTGGGGCTGATCTACAAGGTAATAATGGCTTCTCGTCTCCCGTGAAGATAAAAATGTCTTGGACCTAAGCTGATTGGGATCCACACACGCAGAATGGAATCGAATGAACCAAACCGGAGAAATCAACAGCATGGATGCACCTGGACTTGCCGGATTGCCTAGACGAAGCGGAAAGAAACCGATTATCGCCGCCGTCAACGGAATTTGCATGGGGGGGGGGTTTGAGATGATTGCCAATTGTGACATTGTGGTCGCGTCCTCATCCGCCACATTTGCCTTGCCAGAAGTGAAGCGAGGTATTGTTCCGGTGGCTGGATGTCTTCCACGACTGACGCGTACGATTGGACTCCAGCGTACCATGGATCTCGTGTTGACTGGCAGGACAGTGGATGCGAAAACTCTCGAGAACTGGGGCCTCATTAGTCAAGTGGTGGATGCTTCAACAGATGTTGCCGACGCCGCGGTGAAGATTGCCTTGGAAATGTGCAAAAACAGTCCCGACGCGCTAATTGTCGGCCGTGAAGGAGTTCGGATGAGCTGGGAATATGGCAGTGCGGAGGAGGCCGTCTCCACCCTGGCGGATCAATGGTACCCTCAGCTTATGCGTGGAGAAAACTTCTCCGAAGGCATTCAGGCGTTTGTGGAGAAACGACCTGTGAGGTGGGTCAATTCCAAGCTTTGAGGCGATAATGGTGTCGCCTGGACAGAAGGAAATGAAAAATTCAACTCAATCTAATCAGATTGTCTCAGCTTGTGATAATTTACTGGTGGCGTTCGTGACCCATAGATTTAAATCTTCAAATTTCGTATTCAGTTTCAGCTTCCAAGATGTCAATTCGCCAAGTAGTCTAAGCAGCCAAGGTGGCTACAGTCCAGGGTTGCATTTGATCCTATAGGGTGTCAGCCAATAACTTGGCCCCATTATTCGTCCTCCAGAGCTACCTAGCTACAATTCTGGTAAAAAGGACTGAAGATCTTGGAGGAAGATTACTGATATTCCGAGCCGTGGAGCTCTATTTTTCTCTCTCGATACCAGGGTACCTAAGTGTACTCCATGCTGTACTAGTGATATCTTCACCCGAAAAGGTACTAAACTCCGCAGGCCAAGCCCCCCTTCTGCTCCATCGTACTATGTATAAGTATTGTAAGTAATTTACGTAATATGAGTATTGTCACTTTTACGTATTTTTGTCATTTACTACTAGCTGTATGTAATTAATGCCCCATAGTCGGGTGATTCCGAATCAACTCCACTTGAACTTGTCTCGCTAGACCATCGCACGGACCGGAGAAAAAGAATCTGATAACTTTTCTGCTAACCCTTTTTTGGAACGAAGCACCGAGCTCATCTTTCTCAGGCGTTTATCTTCAGGCATTCAATCCGCCAAGATCTTGGCTGTACGTGGCTTATGTGCGGCCTCCACCATCTCGGGACATTTCCACGACGCCACCCTTCGCTTCGGTTGTTTCTACTCCATTGCAGCAAAGGTGGAACTTGAGTTTCAAAAACTTGGAACTGAAGCGCCGGTTCCGCCCGCGCCGCGTCCGCTCCTTCGCTCGATCATCTGATTAGATGGAGCCCGTATGTCCAATCGCCTTTGTCACTTGCTTCCTTTCCAATTATAAGGGTTCAATTCTTCCGCTCGCGCGCCCGCGCACCCTCGTATTCTGATATTCCCCCTCTCTCCTCTCCTCCATGCCACAAGCTCCTACCCGTATGTGACTGTGACTGCTGATTTGCTTGCATTGGGAGGTCAATGCAGAGAGTGAGTGTACCGCTGCTTAAATTAGTGCCAATTATTGATACCCGCGAATGGCATCTGGCCACCAGCGAATTGATGTCGGTGGACGTTCCAGGTTCAGGCGATGCCAAGGACAGCCAAGGACAGCCAAGGGCTCTGAGGCCCTTGGCAAGTATATATCGAGTTAGTGTACCACAAATTTAACACGCGAGGAAAAGATATCAATCAGTGAGCTCTAGCCGACAAAATTAGTGATGGCCATAAAAGTAAAATCTCCCCCGCGGGATTTCGTACTCGTTTGACTTCCATTACTCCTTTTGCGTCTGTCTAGGGCTGTTCAAGTTCCATAAGCAATGGCGATCATTAACAGATTCCGCGCTTTCCGGCGCCAATCAGTTGAGGAGTCTGTTCCCGCTATAACAACTGCGACAGAGGATACGAAGACTGACTCTGTCGTTGCTGGTGCCGTTCCCGTCAACGATATCTCTCATGAAAAGGGCTCGGAACACAACCCTGAGCGCCCGAGTGAAGATGTGCAACGCGGTGTCAAGAACATCGAGGCCACAACGTTGACCTGGACCAAGCGCACGCTAATTGCCGTGTTCATCAAGTTCGTTTTGACCCTATTCTGCCGATCGCCAGCCCTATCTTGAGACCTTAAACTAACTTAATCTTCTCTCGCAGTATTTGGTTCCTATACTTCGTCAATGCCTTCCAATCGTCGGTCTTTTGGACTGTGGTCCCCTATGTGACCAGCGACTTCTCCTCCCATTCCTTGCTGAACACCATTTATGTCGTCGGTGACTGTATGGCGGCTGCAACCTTCATTCCCGTGGCCCGGGCCATGGATACATTTGGTCGTGCTGAGGGCTTCTTGGCCATGGTCATTTTCGGAACGCTGGGACTGATCATGATGGCTGCTTGCCATAACCTCCCGACTTTCTGTGCAGCCTATGTAAGCAGCTCGATCTGAACACAATGTTCTCTGTGACTAATATAATTATGCTTTTTAGTGTTTCTACAATATCGGTTTCAGTGGTATGACTTATACGATCGACGTCGTAACCGCAGATGCATCCAAGTTGAAGAATCGAGCATTGGCCTTCGCCTTCACTTCTTCTCCATACATTATCACTGCCTTCGCTGGCCCAAAGGTTGCCGAGGAATATCTCGAGCTGATTAACTGGCGCTGGGCCTTTGGAACCTTCGCCATCATATTTCCCATTGTCGCATTCCCCCTCTTCGTCATGCTGAAGTTGAATCTTCACAAGGCCAAGAAGTCTGGCTTGCTTGTGAAGGAGCCAAGCAACCGAACACTTCTACAGAGTGTCTGGTACTATTCCAATGAGCTCGATATCATTGGTGTTTTCCTCTTTTCAGGTGGCCTCGTTGTGTTCCTTCTCCCATTCTCAATTGCACCCACAGCTCCCAATAGCTGGGGAACTGATTACATTATTGCCATGATTGTCGTTGGATTTGTCATGCTCTTTGTTTTCGTTCTTTACGAGAGCTACCTCGCACCTCGCCCAATGCTTAGCTGGAAGCTGGTTTCGGACCGTACCGTCCTTGGCGCTTGTTTGCTTGATGCAACCTATCAGCTGTGCTACTACTGCTGGAATGGATATTTCACATCCTTCCTTCAGGTGGTCAATGATCTTACTATCGCGCAGTCGGGTTATGTCGCGAACACCTTCGATGTCGTCTCAGGAGTCTTACTTCTTGGAGTTGGTTTTGTGATTCGCAAGACTGGTCGCTTCAAGTGGCTGCTTTACATTGCTGTGCCCCTCTATATCTTCGCCCAGGGGTTGATGATCTACTTCCGTCGTCCCAACCAGTCTGTTGGATATCTTGTCATGTGTCAGGTCTTTATCTCGATTGGTGGAGCCGTGTTCATTATCGTCGAGCAGCTCGCTATCCTCGCAGCTGTTGAGCATGAGAATATTGCTACTGTCCTTGCTCTGTTGAACGTTGTCGGAACTGTTGGAAATGCTGCCGGCTCCACCATCTGTGGTGTTATCTGGCAGGCCACTTTTAAGAAGGCTCTCAGACAGAACCTCCCGGCGAATGTCATGGACAACTTCGATGCTATTTATGAGGATATCGAGACCCAGATGTCCTACGCACCTGGATCGCTCGCCAGGACCGCTATCCAGAAATCCTATGGCTATGCGCAGACTCGAATGCTTGCTGCTGGTACTGCCATCATGGTCCTTGCTGTCCCTTGGACTATTATGATCCGTGACATTGACCTTAAGGCAGTCCAACAGGTCAAGGGTATGGTATTCTAAGAAATTATCTTAGCTTTCTCGTATACTATATAGAACTTTTGTTCCCAGGGTCGCCGGAGGCTCCTATCCACCCCCCAATTCCCCAAAGAAACCTTGGAAATATTTGATATCTTTCAAGGGCGACCAAAAGTGAGCCTCGGGGCATGCATGTTAATTAATAGTGACAGTTTTCTTCCTCTAATTATTCACGAATATATATATATTTTCCCAGCTGGTTTTTTGTTGCAGTTCGATCTCTCCGGGCTCCCGCCTTTGGATGTGGAGAGAAAATAGGTTGCAGGCCTGGATTATGTTTAGCTTTGGTAATTCTTATCCCGACCTAACAGGTCTCAAGCCAGTAATTTTACAGCCAACCTTGGAACCTTGGAAGTCATTGGCGTACCCTTCACGGAGCCCTATCTGCAAAGCCGGAACGAGTTCAATTGACGAGCATGGCAATTTGTGAATAACGTAAAGAATGAGCTTGACTATTTATCGAATTTTGATAATAGATACAAATTCTCAGGTTACATCTCTAGAGTGCACTCAGATTACGCAATGGGCGATAGCGGAGATGTCCTTGTCAGTTGGTTCTAGCAGCCCAGTATAAGCCATGTCTTGCAGCCCGCTTGTCAGTGCTAAAGACAAAATTTGCTGGAATTGAGCTGAATCTTGCTTCATGGAGCCATAGTTTTCTCGCTCCTTCAACAGCCCTGCCGGGCTAGCTCAATCGGTAGAGCGTGAGACTCTTAATCTCAAGGTTGGGGGTTCGACCCCCCCCGTTCGGCTATTCCTACAAACATCACCTGAGATATCTTTTTTTTCTTCATGAAGAAATTTTGCATTTGCCGCTTATGAAAGATTTCACGTCATTTTAGTGGCTGAGTATTGTTCCCATAGCTAAGACATGCGCTAGTGTAACTAGCGTGTTTCTTTTCGTGTCGAGGATCGCGGTGCCATCTTCTATTGCCTACAGAATCACCATGGCGAGTATCGCTCAAAAAACCAAGCAGGATCGCAAAGAGGGGGCAGAGCTATCACCTGAAGCTCGCTTGGTTCTTATAGATGCTTTTGAATCAGGGCAATCTCGCTCCAGAATTGCTTCCGATTTTGGCGTGAGTCGAGCTCCAGTTTATAGAACCTTAGAACGCTTCAAGCAACATCAAACCACCAAGCCTCTGCACCGAGTTGGCACCCCCATCAAGTTTACCCGATCTACTGCCCGGTATATTTCTCTTTGGTCCGTCAGAAGCCCTGGCTTAGTTATTTTGAGCTCCGTGTCCAGATTCCCGACCATCCATCTCGCTCTACAATTCGCCGAGTTCTACGTCGGTTCAACATCAAACGCCCCCAGAGGAGAGTATCTACAGAAGGCAACAGCTCGGAAAAGACTCATATACAAGGATGCAATGAAGTTCATCAACTCCAAAAAGGTGGTCAAGTCAACGAGGGTGTCTGTTTATCCTCGGAGGTCAATAAGGAGAGCTTAGCTATTATTTCGCATCCGAATAGAATCTCCAGCTCGGCCTATAATTCGGATATAACTTCTTGCCCAGCATCAATGCCCGCATGATCTCATTTGGCATCCGATTTTCTTTCAAGAATGTGTCGTGGAATATCTTTTCACTCATTATGCCCTGGCCCACGACCTCTTTTCGCATGGCATGAATCTGTATTGCGCCCACCATGTAGCCGATCTGATAGAGTGGTGAATATTCACCACTCAGAGATCGCCTAACCTCTCCTTCCGCTGTTGCGTATTCATGTCCAACCGCATTCACAAGCAAATCGATGCATTCTTGAGGCGCCATTTGACCAAGGTGAAATTTTATCGAGAATATAATACGGGCACACCGATGAAGCCGCCAAAAAAGCATTCCAATCCGATTTTCGGGTGTTTTCACGAATCTTTCGTCGTCCCAGAGCAAAAATTCCCAGTAGAGGGCCCATCCTTCCACTGAGAATGGACTGTCAAAAATGCGTCGATAAGGTTTAGATCTGGCATTGACGTGCATTTGCAAGTGATGTCCTGGGATCATTTCATGGAATACTGTTGCACGCGCGAAGTGAACATTGTTACCTCGCATGCTCATCAGCTTCGCCTCATGATCCATCGTATCAGTCGGATATGATACAATGATTGAATCCCCGCCGAGAAAAAATGGGTTGACCCTCTGTCTTTCTGGCGACATCATAAACATCTGCCACGCATTTTTTGCCACAGATGGAACTGTGACGAGATCATGCTTTTCAACAAATTCCACAGCTTCGTTGAAAAGTTTTTTGACTAATTGTGTTTGCTTCCCAGCCTCCACGTACTCATTCTTGACTTTTTCAAGAGCTTGTTTCCAGTCGCTCTTCAGGCCCATACAGCTCGAGGCTTTCTTCAGTTCCCCGATACACCAATCGAATTCTTTCTCTCCAATAGAGATGAGTTCCTCGGGGCTGTAAGGGATCATTTCCGCTCGAAGATCGGCAAGAAGTCCTTCGCGTCCAATGGGCTGCCCAACAATCGCGCCGTCATCCCCTGCCTTGATTCCAACAAGGCGATCTCGAACAATTGCGGAAATATTTTGCAGACCTTTTTCCACGATACCGTATGGGCTCGACACCCACCAATCGAAAGATGGATCGTATCCTTTGTAGAATAGATACCACTCGTTGAGATGGTCACGCAGGGCATCAATTGTGCGAGCCGCGCGGAATGCCACGGGTTTTTCAATCGACTGCGCAGTGCTTTCATTTTCGACCTTTTCAATGACTTCAGCAATTCCAACCTGTACCTCAAACAACTTCTGGGCAGCTTCCTGGGAATTAATTGGCAGAACGAAGGCCCTCGCCTCACAAAGATCAACCAATATAGTCGCAAATGGAATCAGCGCAGATGCCTTCTCATCTTGTTTGCAATCGAGGTCCAACTGTCGGAGTTCACGCTCCATGTAATTCTTAATGAGCAGGTAGTCCACTTGGCTCTCCTGGTTCAAGCGCTGAAAATCCCGTTCATATTGCTTCAATGAGTTTAGCTCCGCCGTAAGGAACTCGCGTATTCTTTCCCTTCTTCTAGTCGATATTTTGATGGGAAGAAATGCTTCAATATCTCTCAGATCTTCCGTTATTCGCTCAATCAGACCACGCAAAGTCGATTCTGATAGCTCGGGCTGGGGACGCCCATTGTGAAAAGTAATCAATGTCATCCTCACTTGAATATTCTGCGAACTCGTGAGGGGTCGCGTAAATGAGCGGGAAAGGGATGAAGGAATCATTCAATGCGTGGAGCGGTAAATAATTACAATTAACTGCAGGTGGAATGTCTGCGGGCCAATAGTTTGAGTCCGAACAGCCATACGTAATCGGGATTGATCCTACTGTAGCAGGTGGATGCTGTCCTGCCTCTTGTGTTCATCCGACTGGCTATCTGACTGGTCACAACAAAGTCAGCAGACCATCGCAAGCAGTTGTAGTGGTGCTAGTGCTATCTTACTCCGCGTTTTTGCCTAAATAGGTCATTTTCGTTATCGGGCCTGCGCGCCCTGCCGTTAGGATGCGGGGAAACCATGTTGCATCCCGTACGCCGCAGTGCTTGGACAAGCTTATCTTAGGTGGGGGTGGAACCTTAGGCCGCCCTTATGATAAGCTCCTATTATATAGACCTCGGCATCGTCATACTGCTATTTTTTGTCTGTCTAACAAAATCTCCCCAGTTTCGTCGTGATGCCTCCACTGGCATCTGTCCCCGAGATCGACGGCATCTCGCCCTCGCAGTCGGAGGAACTCGCACAGGAAAAAATAGCGACAGATACCAATATAAAGGAGCTACAGAAATTTGAATTGTCTCATCAATGGGATCCAAATTTACCCCAGGAGAAACTTGACGCGATCAAAGAAGCCGTTGATAATGGTGATCACGAGAAAGCAGTCGAATTGGACAAGTCACTTGCGCAGGATTCGCAGTATGATTCCGTCCGCGCGGCTGTGCGCAACGTCGACAATGGGGAAGTTGCGAACACAGTGCGTGCATGGATCCTTGGGCTACTTTTCACGACTGTTGGTAGCGGGCTGAACATGTTTCTGAGCATGAGGTCCGTAATCAATGTCTATTGGCTTTTGTCTTTTTTTTTTTTGAAAAAAGGAAACCGCCTAAACAATTTTATAGAAGCCCTGCTATCTCTTTTCCAGCCATTGTTGTACAATTGCTTGTCTATCCAATTGGATGTTTCTGGGCTAAAGTTATGCCAACTAAGGTGTTCAATACATTTGGGTTACGATGGACATTGAACACAGGACCCTTCACTATCAAGGAACATACGGTTGTTACGGTAAAAAAGCATGCCCAGGTGGTCCTCATTAAATTTTGACATACTAACAATCATTAGATTATGGCCAAGTAAGAGTGCCCAAATATCACGAGGTCACTTCTAACACCTTTATAGCGTGTCGATAGGGTATGCCTATTGCACCGATGCTCTCCTAGCCTTGAAAGCGAAACGTAAGATTGAACCCTCTTCATAATCACCTGGTACTGACTTCAGAAGCTTTCTATGATATGGAAATTGGTTGGGGCTTTCAGTTGCTATTTGCGCTGAGTAGTCAGGTGGTTGGGATTGCTTTGGCTGGAATCTTTCGCAGATTCTTGATCTGGTGAGTCAAATTGTGCTCTGAATGTACCATGCTAATGAGGATTAGGCCTGCTGCTATGATATGGCCTGGCCAATTTGCCAACACTGCTCTGTTCCACGCTCTCCATGATAAGCGGCCGTCTGATCCATCCGAGACAGATGGTTGGAGAGTCTCCAGGTATCGATACTTCATGTACGTTATGGCTGGTGCATTTTTCTGGTATTGGTAAGTCGCAAATTGTAAAGAGCTAGATGAATTATTACTCAATCTTTAAAAGGGTCCCAGGTGTGATCTGGCAAGGTCTTTCGGTCTTCGCATTTGTTACCTGTAAGTGTCCTTTTGTGGAATTCTTTTTCTGAGAGCTAAAATAAGATGTACAGGGATACGCCCAAACAATGTGGTATTGAACCAGCTATTCGGCGGGTTTTCAGGGCTATCATTGATCCCGATTACCTTTGACTGGACGTTGGTTTATCCCTATCCCAGCCCTATAGATCTCCGATACTTACTGACGGAAACTAGCTATGTCTCGGCTTATCTCCTTGATCCGCTTTTGGCTCCAGCACACGCCATAGTCAATACGTTGATTGGACTGACGGTATTCATTGTACTTGCTACGATTGGAATCTCTTACACTGGGGCCTTGTGAGTAATTTTGAAATGGATAGCTTTAATACAAATTAACCATAACTTCAGTTATTCTGCCTATGTTCCTATCAACACCTCGTCGACTTTTGACAACACTCAGCAGTCCTACAATGTTACCAAAATTCTAGGGGAAAACTTCTCTTTTGATGAGCAAAAATACAAAGCATACTCGCCGATGTTTCTTGCTCCAACATTTGCCTTAAATTACGGTCTTTCTTTTGCTGCTTTGACCGCGGCCGTTGTGCATATCATCTTATTCCATCGCAAAGAAATCTGGCACCGATTTACGACAGCCCGTGAGCAGGAGCCTGATATCCATTTGGTTCTGATGAAGAAATACCGCGAAGTACCTGAATGGTGGTATGCGGCATTAGGTGTTGCTTCTATTGCATTAGGCTTGGCAGGTATTCTGGCATACGACTCACAACTCCCTTGTAAGAAGCTCAAATATTCCCGTGTTGATTAAAACTGACAATAATATAGGGTGGGGTCTTTTTGTATCAATTATCATTGCAGCGGTATTTATCGTACGTATGGACTTCATATCAGCAAAACATGATCTAACAGCTAGCAGGTCCCGACGTGTATGATCCTCGCAATCACAAACATTCAACTATGTACGCATCGAAAATCGAACCTGTCAGATCAAGCTAACAGTTCTAGCCCTCAATGTTATATCACCATTCCTAGCCGGCTTTATGATCCCTGGAAAGCCAATCGGGGTGATGGTTTTCAAAGTTTTCAGTACTATCACGTTGGGACAAGCGTATGCTCTCACATAGTCCGCACAAGAAAGCTTTTCCAGAAATATTGCTAATACTCTCCAGGCAATCCTTCTGCCAAGATCTCAAGATTGCGCACTATATGAAGGTTCCACCTCGTGTTACTTTCACGTGCCAAGTTGTCGCAACACTCTGGGCTTGTTTTGTTCAGATTGCGGTTATGAACTGGACTTTGGGTAATATTGAGAACGTTTGCGCCTCGTGAGTTATATGACCCCACTAAATTTATTTTCAATCTCTAACAAATAATGATATGCAGCGACCAAAAGGCACACTTCACATGCCCCAATGGCAGAGCATTCTTCTCGAACAGCATTACATGGGGTAGATACTCCGAGTCCTTTCACCTGAATTCAATATAGCTACGTGACTGATCAGAGTCCTATAGGAGTTATTGGTCCTCAACGGATGTTCGGGCCAGGTAAAATCTACAACAGCATATTATGGTTTTGGCTATTAGGTGCACTACTTCCAGTCGCCTTCTATATCCTGATGCGGGTGTTTCCTCGATCAAAGGCCAGGCTCTTGAATGCACCTGTGTAAGTATCTTCAAGTTGTAGTCAACTCAGCGTGTCAAGTGCCGGTGCTAACGTGGTTCATAGAATGCTTGGGGCCATGTCCTGGATTCCACCGTAGGTAAGCTGCCCCGACAGCAATAGATTATTTCTGACATTTGGGATTACGCAGGGCTACCCCACTAAGTTATTTCTCTTGGGTTATGTTTGGGCTCATTTTTAATTACTGGATTCACCGCCGATGGCGGGGTTGGTGGCACACTTACAATTATATCACTGCTGCGGGACTTGATACTGGACTCATTCTTTCCACAATTGTGATTTTCTTCGCCATTACATTCCCCGGAGCCACTTTGCCCAATTGGTGGGGTAATACTGCGCCATTTGAAACAATGGTGAGTTTTCAAACAATTGGATTGAAGATTTTGAAGCTAAACTCTCACGTCAGGACTCCCTTTCTACCGCAGTGAGGAAGACGGTTGCTGATGGTGAGATTTTTGGGCCGGTGAAATGGTGATATTCAGGCTTATCGCACATCCGCGGTTTTGAGGCCCAGAGAAAGAAATCCGTGTGAGCAGTGAATATTTTCAAATCTTGAAACAGTATCAAAAAGCCCACCGACTTTGATTTGGCGTAGAATGTACCGATAACTCGGACTTTCTAAAATTAGATTGTACCTAGGGGAAAAAATCTTCCAAAGAAGTAGAAGCTGGAAGAAATTGTATCATAGTGTTGATTGTTGTCTCAAGGATCACCACTTGGCCTTTCATCCCACTGCATGCTTTTTGCAGATTCAACCCAGCCATACCAATCGATGTCATCGATGTCCATGTTGATATCAGTAGAGACAATGTTCGAATTAGAAGGCACTTCCTCATCCCACACCCAAGTAACTATTCCTGGGCCAATTGGCTCACCACTTGACTGGTATTCCGGAGCCTCTGGAAACATGCCTATTGTTTCTTGCACAGTATTTCCAGATACTGATTGAAAGGAATCAGGCTGTATAGCCGACCCAAAGTCTACGGGACCACCGTCTGCTGGGTTAAGTTCGGGCAGGCCGAAATTACCAGTTGACTGAAAGCCATGGGCTGAAGTAGATTCAAGACCTGTGTGCACGAAGGACTTGTTGCCCGGTCCAATAGTATCGTCTTTTATCGCGTATTTTTCATCCAATCCGTGATCCGTCACTAGTTGGCGCCATCTTTCGAACGATGAAACTCCTTCGGAAGCCAACTCAGGACTGGCTGGGGGTTGCATCTTCCCATGATCCTCCTCTATACTTGTGACGGCTTCGGGGTCACTTCTCAACCGCAAAATCTCGCTTTGACGATGTGCTTGAGCCTTTGACATCAGTCTTTTCAGGGAAAGCAAAACTGTGGGTTTTGATTCATATGTGACTGTGGAGGAATCAACCAGGCACTGTGAAGGGCAATCCAAGCCCTTTCCACAATTGGCGACCATGGTACTCGACAAATCTCAATGAGAATATAGACGATTGCATGCCAGTGGGTGTATGTTTGGTAGACCCAGCGCCAGTGGCGACATGCTTGCTCGGTATTAAGAGCATGGTTGTATTCCGCAACCTCGATTGCGCAAATGAGAAGTTTAGCTCTTATTTCGCCCGTGAGCTGCTCATTTGGAGAGGAAAATAGATGCGGCAGATATACAAATAATGTCATCTTGGCCGTGACAAGACGCGCAATCGTGACTGAAACCCAGTACGCAATACTCGATTCGGTCGCATATTGCAGATAGACTTTTTCTGTGGCCTGGTAGATATCATGTAGCAGACGGGTCTGTTCTTGAATGGTTGATGATTGGGCGTTTTTTGTCATCATTTCCCTTACAATCATAACTGTTTGAGCGGACATCCGTGGGAAAGACATGTCGGTTAACCCCTCACGCTCAGGGGGTATCTCTTGGATATCTGGCCCTATATCTGCATTATTAATATTGGAAGGAATTTTGGTATCGAAACTCCCTTCAGCGATAGTGAATTCAGTTCCCTGATCCTCTGATGTTCTAACATCAAGCATGCAAATACCCCACCAAACTCTGCGCCTCATCTCGACATCATATGGACTCAAATTTGCAAACTTCGAGCCATCCCGGTGGAGACCCAGGGATATAGCCATGCGGATGGCCAGACCAGTCATCATCCAAACATATCTTGGGCTGTCGTGTCGGCGGAGAAGGGCAAGGAAATTGACAAAGGCTTGTACTAAAACGAGATCAGGGACATTGAGAAAATCGGCCTTTGCGAGGGCATGTTCAAGACCGAGACGATATTTGAGATTCAACTCCTGCTTCGTACACCCGAAGTTGATGACAATATCGTCGTTCTCCATAGATGTGATTGCCGCATAGTAGATTGAGAACAACAAGGCTTCATTGACCGCAGTAAGCCGAGTCATGTCGCCTCGTAGGTCCCGTATCATCTTGGTGACGACAGGCATGTGCACGCATTGAGTGACTGAGTTCACATTCTCTGAGAAAATGTCTAAAATGAAAGGAATTTGCGACGGCAGTGGGTGAAACTCCCGAAGATCAGGGGTCGCTGGGGTGAGATTATGTCTAAAGATGAACGAATTTCGCTCGAGAGGGCTCCTCTCAAGCTCTTGGGTAGATGGAGTCTTTCCAAATGATTCTTCATCGTCAGAGCTTTCGTTCCCCTCGAGTGCTAGATGTTGTGTATCCATCTTCAGATCATTCAACTAGCCATCGAGTCAGTGACCCTTTTCTGTCTAAATGTGACATTAAGTGAAGTGAATTTACATACCTCGTCATCAACCCGTGACCAAAAACCACTACCAATATAGTGACTTCGATTGGGATCTTCGACGACGAGTCTCCCAAACCGGGTGTCCATCTTGCCCGGGTGTGCAGACAGACTGCCCATTCGATTGTTAGCGTCTGCTTCGTGGCCGCCGCCGAAATTCACATCGGGTGAACCCCCAGCAGAAGCCGCAGCATGAGCTTCATCAAGCTGACTACTCAGATGCTTGACAAGATTCTCCAGGCTTCGGAGTCGATTCATGACGTCGCCCGATGGTCCCTGCTGGAGACGCCGAGCCCATCTTGGCTGTCGATCTGCAGTTGGGAGAACACAAGAGATATTCGCGCGACGACAATTTGAACATGGAGACTTTTTATCACAGCGGACTTTCCTGGTTCTACAAGTCACGCAGCTGCGTGGCTTAGAGGCGGGGGATGAGGATGAGGCTTCACCGTCAGCCACCCTCGCGTGTTTTTCGGCCTCCAAAGCCGAGCCCGACGCGAGGACCGACGCAGACGCGAGGACCGACGCAGACGCGAGGACCGACGCAGACGCGAGGTTAGGCCTAGGCGAGCTGGGGAATGTTGCAGGCTGCGACATACTATTATTGTGTGATAGCTAGGCCAATCACTAAGTGATTATGATCCGAGCATTCCCTCTCACAGTATTGACGATGTCAAGCCTGCGCTTGTGATGTCCGAGATGTCAGCGACCGGATGAGGCAAAGCGGACAGCCACAGCCACCCAAAAAGTGAGTGACTCCTTCATAAAGCGAAACCTGGCCGAGTTTATTGAAGATCTGACCTTCCATCTCCATTTCGGTCATCTTTCGGTATGTCCCATGGCGGTTAACCTGTACATAAAATAGTTGGATACCCCCAGGTCGACAATTATCCAGCTCATCAACACAATATTTCAATACCACAATCTCCAGCAACCAACTGGCTACTGGAAACATTCAAATTACCATATACCACCCACTTGAATCAACCCAACATTCATGATGACTTCGAACAAAACCATCGCATTCATCGGTGCTAGCACCGGAGTTGGCCTGTCGGCACTCAAACACGCCGTCGCTGCTGGCTACCAATGTACAGCACTCTGTCGAGTGCCCTCAAAGCTCTCCTCTATTTTCCCATCAGAGTCAACACCCAACCTGAAAATCGTCGAGGGAAATGCGCGCGATATCAAAGTTGTCACGCAGTGCCTGGACGCAGGAAACGGGAAACTAGTCGACTTCATCGTTTCCACCATCGGCAGTCGACCAGTATGGGTTAAATGGAAAATGAGCATCGAAGACCCCACCGTTTGTCAAAACGCCATGGCGAATGTCCTCGAGGCCCTTGCTCAGCTTCGAAATGCGGGCCTCACTGGCAATCCGCACATCATCCCGTTCAGCACCACTGGAATGTCGAAATATGGTCGCGATTACCCCATCGTGTTGGCATTTTTCTACCTTGTGCTTCTCCAGGTGCCCCACAAGGACAAGCAAGTCATGGAAGAAAAGCTCATCGAGAGTGGTGAATCGTATACGATCGTTCGGGGAAGTCTCTTGACTGATGGCGAGACTACCAGGACGGTTCGGGTTGGCATTGAGGACCATAAGACTGGTCGGGAGTCAGAGGCTATCGGATATACCATCACCAGGGAAGATGCAGGAAAATGGGTTCTAGAAAACCTTGTTTCCCAGCGGAATGAAAAGTATCAAAACAAGATCCTGATGATCACGACTTGATTATCTGCTGGTGATGTTAGAATATGATTAATAGTGTTTCCATTTCCATGCCTTTTGTCTTGTTCCGAGTCTTGTTTAGAGCTATGTTTACTACTTGATATTCGATTATGTCTGTTCAGCATTATTAATTAATTACAACGTCGGAATCAATCGATTCTATTCTCAGTAGTACTCGTACTACTACTTCAAGTTGATCCATCTGCCTCAATTCCAACCAACTCAACTTCACTGCAAGACTGGTACCTAAGGAGACTTTGATAGACACTAGAAATCAATGAGTCAATATCACAGCCCTCTAAATAGAAGAAGAATCATATTTTCATACTCTCCAATCATGCAATGTGATTATTCGTGCCTTTTTGCCTCAGGCATAACACACTAACCCAATCAGGCGACGATCCGGAGACTTTTGGGAAGCTCGCGGCATCTGAACTGATTGAACCTTTCGATCCCCCAACACCCCACAAAGACAATGTCGTCTTCCTTGAGAATGGCCGGCCTACTCGGCCAGGCCACGCGAGCCATTGCCGTCCCCGAATCCTCTCAATCCCACCGCCTCCTCCCTCTCCTCCGCACCACGTCGCGATCACAATGCCGAGCCTACAGCCAAGCGCAGCGCCCTCGCTGTAATCAGAACATCAAGAGTGCTTTGGAACTCCGAAATAACTTTTCGACGAGTGCCTCTTACGCTCGCGCCAAGACTATGGGCCAATTGAAGCAGCGCAACTCTACCGGCCCCTTCTCGTGGAAGGCGGCGTTGCTCTTCGTGCTGACTGGCGCGGGCATGATGATTTACTTCCGGGTCGAGAAGGCTCGTCTGGAGCGCAAACGTATTGCGGAGATGAGCAAAGGTGTTGGAAAGCCCAAGGTCGGCGGTCCATTTACGCTGAAGGATCTGGATGGGAAGGAGTTCACTGCGGAGGATCTGAAGGGCAAATACAGCTTTGTGAGTGTTCAATCTGGATGGGGATCGGTTCTGCTGGGATGGATCGATCAATCGCTGGACTGTTTCTGACTCGTGTGATGATTTATAGGTCTACTTCGGTTTCACCCACTGCCCCGATATCTGCCCCGACGAATTGGATAAGATGGCCGAGATTATCGACAAGGTTCGGGAGGTCACCAAGGATGACAAGCTTTTCCTGCCCGTTTTCATTACCTGTGACCCTGCTCGTGATAGCCCCGAGGTGCTGCGCGAATATCTGAAGGAGTTCCACCCTGGCATCATTGGTTTGACTGGCACCTACGAGCAGGTGAAGAATGTTTGCAAACAGTACCGCGTCTACTTCAGCACGCCTCGGGATGTTAAAGCGGGCGAGGACTACTTGGTTGATCACAGTATCTACTTCTATCTGATGGGTAAGATATACCGCTTCTTCAATCCGTGTTACTGAAAGGCTAATTGATCCCGACAGACCCCGACAACGACTTTGTCGAGTGCATCGGTCGCCAGGACACCCCCGAGTCTGCATCCAAGGTTATCCTAGAGCACATCAACGACTGGAAGCGCGAGGGTAAGCCGCTCAAGCTAGAGTAATTGCGCCGACATGTATTATCAAAATGTACCATAGCCCTATTAAATCCGAATACCCTGCTCATTGTAAATATCCAAGCTACAGCCTGTCTCTGTCTGTCTACTATCTCTCGAATCACCCTGCCGGATACGCCAATCGATTCCAATTAGGGAGAGTCAAACAATGCCTCACATATTCGATCTTATATACACGGTACATACATTCCTTCATCGTACGTAGTCTATCCAATCCTCCACCTAGGTCTCTCGAAGCCATCAATCAGAACAAAACCACCACCAACCCTCAAGTCACACTAGCACATCTCACTTGGCCTCGCCACCCTTCAACTTCCCCTCAGCATCCCGATCAGCATTGGCCCTCCACTCCATCCCCCCCATCCAAAAACTCCTCCCTCTTCCAAATCTCCGCCCGCTCCTTACAAGCCTCCAAAACCTCCTCCCCAGCCCTCCACCCCGCACCCCGATGCCCCGAACTAATCGCAATAGCAATAGAAGCCTCCCCAATCGGCACAACCCCCATCCGATGCGCAATGCTCACGCCCAAAAGCCGATATTTCTCCACGGCCGCCTCGGCAATCTCCGTCAACGTCTTCAGCGCCAGAGGTGGGTAGGTTGTGTAGCTGAGTTGGGACACGGGCCGTCCTTCGAACGTATCGCGCGTTGTGCCGAGGAATAGGACATTTGCGCCGGCGGCGGGGAGGAGGTTTGCGACAGGTACGTATTCGCGTCGAGGGGGGGTGTAGGTTAATGTTAGGTGGATGTTTTTGGTCGCATCGTGTGAATAGCGCGGGTAGGTATTTGGGTCCAGGTGTGCTGGTAGAGGGGTTTCCTGTGCTGTCATTGTGTATACATGTGTGTATATTGAAGGAGGAAGTTGGCCTTGGGAAGGGTTGCGACGAGGGGTGAAGGTCAATGAATTGCTGGGCTTATCAGTTGCGGGGAACCGGTGGATAAGTGGGCTCCGATACGAAAGACCTTCCTGGTGCGGCGGAGATCACCGAGGGACTAAAATTGTGGTTATGATCGAAACATGAGAAGCTGGTTGAAATCTAATTTTGATTGATTCAATTTATGTACCATTCGATATATTGTGATCGTGGTGTCGATATCCCATGGGCACACTGGTCTACAGAAGAGCAACTATGGCCTCATAAGGTCGGAGTGACCACTTTCCGCTGCCAAAGCGCTGTGTAGCTTCCGCAGTACTGTCGTAGTTGTTGAGAATCACTTCCTTGATAGAAGAGACCTCATTACTTCCAGCGTCCCAATCCACAGCCTTCGCAGTGAAGTTGCACACGACCAACGCCTTCTGATTCTCATATTGACGAGTAAACGCGAACACTTCCTCATTGGGCTCGTCAACCTGGACCCAGTCTCCATAAACGAAGATGTCGAGATACTTCTTGCGAAGACCAAGCACCGAAGCCCAGAAGTGGTAGGTTGAATTAGGGTCCTTGACTTCTGCCGCGGCATTGACTCGAACGTAATCCGGGTTCACCGACATCCAAGGCTTAACCCCTGGTCCAGTGAAGCCACCATTCTCGGCATCAGACCATTGAACCGGGGTACGTGCGTTGTCGCGAGATTTCTTCTGGTACTCTTCTCGGGCAATGGCTTGGGCTTCCGCATTGAAGTAGTCCTTCTTCTGTTCTCTATGCATCGGATACCGTGTTAGTTATAGCCCAAATCGAAATGCTATTTCAATAGCACATCAGTGAGATAAGAGTCTTCACTTACCCATACCAGTGATTGAGGCAATCGATATCTTTATATTCCTCAATCCCCCACGATTTGGGAACATTTCGCATGCCAATTTCCTGTCCTTGGTACACGAACGGGGTGCCAGATTGCAAGGCCAACGCAATGGCCAACATTTTCGAGGAAACACGACGGTACTCTTCCGGGGCATTCGCAAAGCGATCAATCGAGCGAGGCTGATCATGGTTCTCCCAGTAAAGCGCATTCCACCCATCATTCGCATACATAAACCTCTGCCAGCGGGCAAAGAACTCCTTAAGCTGGGTAAGTTTCCAGCCGCCGGGCTCAAATTTATTACCATGGGGCCCGTGGTCGATATCGACGTGCTCAAAGTTGAAGATCATGTTGATTTCGTTTCGGTCGAACTGCACGGCCTTGAGGACTTCTTTCTCGTCTTTGACGAAAGGCATCTCGCCTACGCTGAAGGCGTCGTATTCTTTGAGAATCTCGCCAATGCCCTGGAGATACTCATGTAGACGGGGTCCGTTGGCGTAGAACTTGTCACCCCATTGCCACCCTCGGCGCTCGTCTGTGACCTCTGCGTCGGGGAAATTCTGGTCTTTGCTGATGAAGTTGATGACATCCATGCGGAAACCATCGCAGCCTTTGTTGAGCCAGAATCGCACGATATCATGGACGGCCTTTACGACAGGAGGGTGTTCCCAGTTGAGATCTGGTTGCTCGGTGGCGTATAGATGGAGGTAGTATTCGCCGGTATGTTCGTCGAATTGCCATGCACTTCCTAAAGATCAGATTGGTTAGTACGAAGAACTCGAAGCTTTTTTTTTATTTTTCTTCTATTATTTCCTTCTCTTTTCATTGTAGATTAGAAACTCACCCTGGAAATGGGAAATCCAATTGTTCGGAGGCTGACGGTTACCATTCTCGTCGTAGCGAGGAGGTCGCCAAACGTACCAGTCCCGGTACTCATTATCCTTCGAACTGCGCGATTGCTTGAACCATTCATGTTGATCACTAGTGTGGTTAACCACCAGGTCCATAAGAAGCTTCATGCCCCGTTGATGACACCCCTGGATCAGTTTTTCGACATCTGCGACCGTACCGTACTCATCGGCGATACTGTAGTAGTCGGCAATGTCGTAGCCCATATCAACCTGGGGGGGATTTGTAGGACGGGCACAGCCAGACGATATCGACGCCCAAATTCTTGATATAGTCCAGCTCGGAGATGATACCGGGGATATCGCCAATGCCATCGTTATTCGAATCTTTGAATGAAGCAGGCCAGATCTGATAGACGGAGCTTTCTTTCCACCAGGCGCGGTGGTTTGGCTTGCTTAGTTCAGCCATATCGGGGAGAAGATGATGGATGGTGATTTTATGGGAAGCTAGGAAGTTCCAGTGAAAAAGAAACGACCCTCGGTTCAAATTATAGAGGGAAGCTGGCCATATAAGTAGGGGTAGTGTTCCCACCAGGATGCGGGCACAGCCAATCCGCTCATATCGGAGTCGTGCAGCAGGGTAGCTATGGTACCCGGACCTCCCACCGCGGGGCACAGTGGGGACTGGCCATTAGATGTTATGTGTTATGTAGCAGATGCGCCGATCAGTGTAGGTGCAGTTGTGTTGACTGCAGTATGGGCCACGTTGAAATGCGGAACTGGTGGAGTGTCTCCACCAGCGGTGCGATGATCTGAAGGTCGGTCAGATTCTCGGCCAGATTCTCGGCCAAACTAGTTTTGGGAAGAAACAGATCCGCATTCAAAGAGTCTACAAATTTACAAAAGGCCGGATCATAAGAGAATAGTTGATCGTAAATTGGGAATCATAAACCATAAGAATAAAACAAAGCTAAGACCACCCCGCTAGCAGCCCGCCGATAGAAAGTAACTAAAACATCACTCTTTCACCACTGCGTTTAAATCCCAGGGATAGCTTGATTTAAACACCCTGCTTCTTGGCAATATCAGCCTCGGCACCGCGCTGACGAGCCTTACCCTCATCATGCATATCGCGGAACTTCTGCTCCTCCTCCCGGTCACCAGCGACAGCCGCACCGATCGAACCAAGAGTACCCTGAGCACGGTTCTGCATACCGCTGCCCCAGTCCTTCAGCTGGCCCTTGGCCTCTTGTTCCTTGCCCGCGGCGTTTTGCTCAACACCTGCACGGCGTAGACTCTCGTTGCCGATCACGTTGCCAATGGCTTCCTTGGTAGAACCCATGGTCTGGTCCCAGGAGCCGGTGGCGCGGTTGGGGTCATCCTGGGCGACGGCGCCAGTGTTGGGGTCGGCTGTGAAAGGGCCGAGCTTGGCGGTTGTGTGGGAGGCTTCATCTTGGGCCTTGGCTTGTTCCTGGGCGACTTCACCCTTGTTCTGGGGTTTGTTAGTATATCATGGTTTTGTTTTGGATGGTGAGAGACAAGTTTACCTGGGCAGAAGAGTCACCAGTCACAGCACCGTAGGCGCGCTGGGCCATACCAGTGGCCGAGTTGGCGATGGAGCCAAGAGTAGAAGAGTTGCCGTTGTCAGTAGACATTTTGTAGATGTAGTAGATAGATGTGAAGTAGATAAGAGGTGGTGGTTGAGGTGGAAGTGTGGTGTGTTGAAGCGAGTTCAAAGTTATCTGTGCGGAATGGATTTCTCTTGGAGGTTCAGCTTCTTTTTATATCAATCGTACATTCCCTTTCCCATGTCTTCTTTTCCAATTGTTCCTTCCTTTCCAAGATTTCAAACCCGCGATCGATGACATCATCCACTGATGTCACATCACGTGGTCAAGCCACGAGTGTAGTGGAGGGCTGCGTCATTCCATTTCCATTCTAATTCAAGAGCCAATGGAAACGGATATTCAGGGGAGGAGAAGCTTCGACGGTCTACAGTGGATCACGGTAGAAGAACAAAGATACAATGTGTGGAGTGAGGGCTTGGTCAATATGATGAAATTGTGCACATCGTAATAGTCATACTTTGTATGGTAGACTAGGAAATCGGTAAATCCATTAAATCCATTAGATCCATTAACGCCCTTCTTTGCTCACTGCAGAAGCAGGAGATATGTTCCCAAATGCATATGAACGCTCAAAGTAAATTGCAGAAAAAGAATGAAGAAATGGGGGAAGTATCCCCTACCAGTGGCAGATTCCGCCTTCACTATCATCAGCGGTCCATGTTCCACATAGACCAACCACCTCAAGATGACCATCGGGTTGTTCGCCGACCTTGCTAAGAGCAGCGGAGCCCTTATCTACGGAGCCATTACTGAGCAAACGTCGAGCCCATGCATCAATAGCCGGTTCGCCCGTCTCATCGCGCGCCTGCTTAAGGAATGGGATAAGTGCCGTGCCACCAGTTCCACGCAACTTCTTATTATCTTTGGGTGCGGCAGTAGCAAGGTTCTTGACAGCCGGCTTGCTGGGTTCGCCGGGTTGCGATGCAGCTCGCGCACCCCGTGACTGAAGAATGATGTACCGCGAAACGATCTGTATGTGCTTGTCACGCATCACTCTCAACATAGACAAACAGGCATCGTAGGCGATGCACAGGCCGGCATCGCTGCGGTGAGCCTCGACGTAGGCCCGGATATTAGCGACAGATTCGACATCTTGTAGGAATCGTCGGTGTGGGCCAGGCATGTATTCACGCATCTCATGAATGAAGCCATGTCGAGGTCGCGGGCTACCTTCGGCATCGGCAGAGGCTTGGTCCTTCCGTGTGACTCCAGTTGGGCGGTGTTCAATGCCCAAGACAATATCGAAGAACTGGATCAAAGAGCTTTGGGCATTGCTGCCTCCGCCGTATTGGCGGTATTGGGGCGTGTTGTGACCATCGTCATAGAGCACTCCATTCGGTAGCCCGGCATCGGCCATGTTCTTGCTGCCGGCTAGGTATGGACGGATGCGATTGTAGAAGACGTATGGGTCGCAGTTATCGTACATACGCATGAGCAGTCCGCTGATCTCATCTATGATCTCTGCAAGGCGCTGCAGGCACTGCGTCACGATCTCAGCCCTGTCTTGACGCGCAGCGGCGATCGCCTGAAGCATCAGCGGGATCGACGCTGCACCACGTGCTTCCATGGCGACTGAGACGAGGAAAAACCATTGCTCGTCGAGGGAGCCAGTGAAGGTTTGCAAGCAGGCGAGATTATCCAGATTATCGGTAGGTTCGTTGGGGAAGATTGGGCGGTAGTTCCAGAGACAGACGCCGGCATAGGTTGCAACTGGAGGCAGCTGCACTCGTTCACAGACCTCGAAGAGAGGCTGTGTAAGCTGTGGGGGAATTCTCTGTTCGACAAGATTGTCAGTATCACCGTTCAGTCCCATTTGGATATTCCCTCTGGATGTTGGTATAGCCCTACCTCGGCTGGTCGATCACCACCCCAGACATAGCCATGCAAGATGAAAACCAATACCACATATGCGCGGCGCCATTCGGCATCCGTTCGAAGATTGGACGTAGAAAGAATCGGAAGACAGTCCACGACAGCACGCATGCGCTTGCTCAGAAGTAAAGGCTGCAGATTGCAGACAATAGCTTCCCATTTGGCGTAGAAAGCTGGTAGGTTGTGCAGTGGCGGTTCAGCCGGCAGGAAACCACTTGCCGCCGAGATACCGTAATCCTCCAGGCGAGGCACGGGAGGCAGCATGGTTGAGAAGAATACAGGATATCAACCCACTTGAACCAACTTGAATGAAGAGAGAAAGTGAGGGAATCAAAAGATCAGACAAAACAAGACTGTTTGGAAGGGGCACGTGGGCTGAAGATGCGGAAGGGACAGCCGGATGCTCTCATCGGCTGCCTAAACTTCAACTTGTATATGACAATATGAAGATGCTTATGTTTGTAGGATGCAGATACAAGTATTGAGCATGTCTTAATCTTGAATAATGCTTGGGGGAGTTGTTCTTGGTAAGAGCACTCCAGGAACCAGAAAGAGAAGGGTATGGGATGATGGAGTGGCGTTCCACAATTAAAGACGTGCCAGTACCAAATTTCCCTTTAAAAGGCTATTTTCCCTTCTCACCGGATGTGAACGGAGCAAGTCTGGGGATAGGCTTTTTTGGATTGCCGAAATCTTCTTATTTCCAGTATCTGAAGGAAAAGGGAAAAAGGGGGTGTTATAATATACGCAGAGATTTACAGATTTTCAATCATCTTGTCCTTTTCCCATCAGGCCCTCGGCCGGAAGAAATGAAACTACCCGAGCACGTAATCATGATGATTTACCGAGACGAGGCACTTTCCCAGGGTACTCGGTACTTTTCGAGGAGGAATTCAGGAAATTCAGTCCGCCCGGTCAGAAAACTAGGCATTAAGGGGAGTTAGCCGGGCCAAATGGGGGGGTTCCGATATAGGAGAGGGGGGTAAGAGGTGGGTGAGAGGTGAATGAGTGATCCACCATGAAGATGAGGTTTAGAGGGGTATACTTGAGAAAATGCTAGTCAAAGAAGGAGTCAAGGGGCAGAAATTGGGGGTGAAATAGATGGCTACAGTTGACTGACTTTATATCGGGTCCATCCACTCCATCCAGAATGGGGCGCATGCATCCGAGGGCCCGTGTTCAGGATTTTAGGCCGAGTGCAGGCGATACAGGTCCCTGCTAGTGCGAGAGCTAGAGAATGATTCGGAAACCCGGTGAAAAGGGATTTTCATCGACTTTCACTGGGTGTACCGCTGCATCCAGCCTGGCCCCACTATACTCGCCAAATCGCCCTCACTTCACTAAAGTCACTGGGGCGATCATTGGCATCCGGGGTTAACGTCAGTCATGAGCTTGTTTGATCGTATGAATAGATGGGTCTACAGTGCATAATATTCCCCTCACATGGTCACCTCCCAATTTCCCCCAACTTGAATGATTTCTCCTGCTCTTTTCTCTCTTTTTTCAACCCGGCCGTGTTTCCACTCTGCTTAGTCATTGGGTGCATTTCAAAGGGCTTCACCAAAGTGCTGATTATGTAATGAGTATATTTTATGCAGCAAGGGCAAGAGAACAGAGAATATACAGTAGCACTACACCTTAGTAACACTTATAGTCGCAGAGTACTATTATTGACATAAATAACTTGAATATTCACAATTATCGAAATCCAACTTGAATACTTTTTTTACTTTATCTAGTATACACGATCGTCGATACTACTCCTACACCCGCCCAGTAGATGAAGTAATCCCCCCATCCACCACTAACGACTGCCCCGTAATGTATCCCGCCTCATCCGACGCCAGGAAAAGTGCCGCCCGCGCAACATCCCATGCATCCCCCATTCTTCCCATGGGCACTTGCTCATCCCGTTTCCTCATGTAAGCCGCCTCATCACCCCCAGGCGCATACCGCTGAGCCAGAGCCTGTGTATATGGCGTATAAATCAACCCGGGTACCACAGTATTAAGGCGAACACCTTTCTCCGCATAAATGACCGCTGTCGCCGTGGTGAATTGCATCATGGCCGCTTTAGTAGCCGAATATGCCACCTGCGGTTTACCAATATATCGGAGTCCCGCAATACTAGCAATACTGACCACGCTGCCCCATCCTTGTTGCTCCATGATTGGCAGGACGTGGTGGGTAACGAGGTAGAGGCTATTCAGATTAATGTCGACCTGTGAATGCCATACTTCTTCCGACATGGATGCTGGACACCCCGGCTCGCTGCGGCCCACGTTGCTCACGAGAATGTCTATCCGGCCGTGTTTCTGCATACATTGGTCCACTAGCGCTTTGACGGAAGGGGAACTGGTGACGTCCGTCTCGACCACGTCGCAGATTCCGCCTTCTTCTTCGATGCGCTTTTTGGTTCGATTGGCGGATGAGAGGGACCGGTTTCCGCCGAAAATGGAGGCGCCTTGGCGGGCGAAGAGCGTTGCTATCGCTGCGCCGATGCCCCAGCCTTCATCGGTGGTTTGGCCGAGGCCGGTGATGAGAACCACTTTTCCTTGTAGACTGAGCATGGTATAGATGAGAGAGTGTGTGATAAAATTAAGAATAATGATAAATTGAGAACTGAAATGAATTGACAATTCTACTGTTTTAGACTCGCGCTAGATTAAATAAATGCTGGTCATCGGATCCGCGCCGCACCTCCGCATCGACGGGAGACATCCGCACGGATCAGACGAAAGAGCCCCATCATTAGAGCCATGAATGTTGTACTAGTACTACTATCCTGGAGTACTAGTAGTAGAGTACTAGCAGTAATAGAATTTCATCTATTCATTTGAAACTACATTCTTCAAGTCTATATTCTTAAATAATCCCGTAACATCCAAACATGTATATTGTCTACCGTACTCCAAATCTATATGCTATGCAATATCGTATCATATCATCATCTAATCAAAAATAGACGCCTTCATCGAGTTGGGCTGGATATACTCGGACGCATTACGGAAGCTAGTAAAGCCCCAACGAATCTGAGCCGCCATGGAAATCTCCACGTCCAAGTCCTTGGCGAAAGCCCAGGCCAAACCGCTGTCACGCTGGAAGGCACGGCCAACCAAGATGTAATCGATACCTTCCTCGTTGAGGACCTGCTCGGCCAACTTTCCGTTGTTGATCATACCGACAGCGGCCACGAGCAACTTGCTGCCGACGGCTTCCTTGACAGCCTTGGCGAAGGGGACCTGGAATCCAACGCCGGAAATGACCTTCTGAGCAGCGTGTACACCACCCGTGCTGATATCGATCAGGTCAATGGCGCCCTGGGCGGCGAGGGCGCGGGAGAACTCGACGGTGTCCTCCAGCTTCCAACCCTTCTCCTCGGGCATGCTCTTCTCGAGCCAGTCGGTGGCGGAAACGCGCAGGAAGACGGGCATGTTGGGGCCCACGGTGTCGCGGGTCAATTGGGCGATCTCCAGGGAGAGACGGATGCGGTTCTCGAAGCTGCCACCATACTTGTCGGTACGTTGGTTGGAAGAGGTGCTGAGGAAGGAAGACAGCAGGTATCCGTGGGCGTTGTGGATCTCAATGAAGTCGACGCCAGCAGCGACGGCGCGCTCGACGGCAGCCACCCAGGCGGTCTTAACCTCCTCGATATCATCCTCGGTCATGGCCTTGGGGACAATGTCACCATCAGCAAAGGGGATTGCGCTGGGAGCCTTGACATTGTCAGTCCAGCCGCCGACGGCGTTGGTGGCGGTGACACCGCCCAACCAGGGAGGGACGGTCGAGGCCTTGCGACCTGCGTGAGCCAACTGGATACCGATCTTCTGGCCCTGGCTGTGGGCGAACTCAACGACCTGCTTGAGGGGGGGCGATCTGAGAGTCCTTCCAGAGACCAACACAGCCGGGAGTAATACGACCCTCGGGGACAACACCGGTAGCCTCAATGATGATCATTCCAGGGCCCCGCTGAGCAATGCCACCGTAGTGGGCGATATGCCAGGCTGTCATGTGGCCATCCTCAGCACTGTACTGGCACATGGGCGCCACCTGTTATATTTTGTTAGCCAAGAATTTAATATATAAAAAAAGAAATCAAAGTATGAACTCACACCCAGGCGGTTCTGGAAAGTGTGGCCGCGGATGGTCAAAGGCTTGAAAAGTTTAGGGATGGCCTTGCCGGAGGTTTGGGGGTCACGGGCAGTGCCAGCCGGGGGTGACTGCGCCGGAGTGAAGTAAGAAATGCCCGCAGCGGGGGTGACGGGGACATCTGGCCAAGTCATGATGGGAGTAGAGGGTATAGGGTATTGGAAAGAGATTATTGTATATACAGTTTCAATGGGTGCTAATGGATCTGATTTATATAGTAGTATACCCTGTAGATTGATAATTACTGATTTCTAAGCCTGCAAAGATTTCTCCAAAGATTTCTCTCGGCATGTTTAATTAGTACTACTATTAGTACTACTACTAGTACTATAGGCTAACCATTCTTCGTCAACCTTCGGAGACATTTTATACTACCCAATAACTACATCATAGAATATTGGTCAGCCAGTCTTCAATTGTATGATCTTTTATAGAACACATATTGAACCTGATTAAATTCTGCAGCATTCAGAGCAGAGTTGGAGAAAAGTCTCCGTGGTTCGGTCGGCAATTCGCCCGATCTCCACCTGCTCCACTTGATCTCCAAACTGTTACGAAGCATCATTATTTCCAGTATTCAGTATTTAAGTATTCAGTATTTAGCATTTAACATTTAGCATTGGGTGTTAGTGTACTCCGTACAGTCTGCAGGAATCAAATTAACCTACATAGCCCCTGTTGTGGCTGAAGCGGCTGCAGGGGGGGGGGCAATGCAGGTGGTTGCCTTAGCCTTGTAACTATACCTAGAGTTAGCTAGTATGTAGTATGCACCCTCGCTAGGAGATACTCGTTGAAGAACTTCAACTTCAACTTAACTTCCGATCATACGAATATAGTCTCACTGCTACCTACCACTCTTTCAAACTCTGTTATACGATCTCTCGTGAATGTGGTGACGAAGGTGACTCCCTGAATTCATACATGATTCTGCCTTTCTTTGTCTCAGGCTTAGCATTGTTGTCGCCCACTCTTAGTATTGTTCTCCTTTCTCATTCAACTTCCTCACTCACCACCACTTCCACTCCGCCTAACTTGATCCTCCACCTCGTTTCCATTACCATTGTTTGTCTCGGCTGCCTCTATCATGCTACACTTCAGCTTTCACCCTGATTCGGGCGACTCTACCTGTACTCATCCCATAGAGACCATGTCCCTACCTTCTCATACTGTTCCACCCTAATAGTTACTATATCTCATCCATCTTGCCTCAATCATCATCTTTTACATCAACTTCCTCTTCTCCGGTGTTCAAGTGTGCAACTTCTCGATCCAGTATCAAGTATCTTCAATTTCCGCGACCATGTCCGTCGCCAATCTCGGCCCCGATTTGAACCCTTATGAGCAGAACATCACCATCTTCAACAAAGATGGCTCCAGCGTGATCGTGCCATTGAGCCAGATAGATATATATGTTCAGTACAATGTCCGTGTCTGCATCAACTATGGCTGCCAGCTCGGTGCTTCTATCGTGCTGTTCGTCATTCTGCTCCTCCTCACCCAGCGCGAGAAGCGTGGCTCCTCCGTCTTCCTCCTCAATGCCATGGCATTGGTCTTCAATATCATCCGTCTGGTCTTCCAAACCGTCCATTTTGACACCGGCTTCGAAAAGATCTACCCTTACTTCACCTTTGATTATTCCGCCGTCGAGACCGGTGCTTATGTGATTTCCATCTTCTCAACCGTCTTCACCAGCCTTCTCGTCGTCTGCATCCAGATCTCTCTGATGCTCCAGACCCAAGTCGTCTGTTCGACCCTGCGCCGACGATACCGACTTATCCTCATCGGTCTTTCCTCCGCCGTGGCACTCGTGCCAATTGGATTCCGCTTCGGGTGGATGGTAATGAACTGCATCTACATCATGGATGCGGCGTACATGTCGCCGATCTGGTGGCTAGAAAGCGCATCCAACATTACCATCACCATCAGCATCTGCTTCTTCTGCGCAGTCTTTGTCACGAAGCTAGGCTTTGCCATCCGACAGCGCAAGCGACTAGGAGTCCGCGAGTTCGGCCCGATGAAAGTCATCTTTATCAGCGGATGCCAGACGCTCACCATTCCGGCCATCTTTTCCATCGTCCAATACCAGGTTGTCGTCCCGGAGCTTGCCTCAAATCTTCTCACCTTGGTCACCATCTCCCTCCCTCTCTCGTCCATCTGGGCCGGTGCCGCTCTCGATCGCCGAGGCACAAATTCCAGCACCACCCCGCGTCGCAATCTGTGGAAATCGCTTGCATTCGGAGAAGACAGCACCCTCAAGGGCACCGTTGTAAGCGAGCAAACGTCCTCGTCAATGAGCCCCAGCAGCGCGGCTAAGACCCTCTGCTATGCCGATCGCCCGAATAAGCCTTCGCAGGACTCGGATACTCCGTTCGGGATTACCATCGAGCATGATATCTCCATTGACAGTATCCGCCGGGACCCGTCCATCGTCTGATCATGATCATACAATCCTTTTTTTCCCTTGCTCTCAGTCAGGGTCGCACAGTCATTGTACATGAGATCTGGCTATTAACTTTATTTTCATTTGATGTCTCTCTATTTCTTTTTTTTCTTTTCGGTGTCCTGTTTCAAGTTAGTTCCGAGTACATTTCTATCTTTACTGCCACAGGTGCCCAGGTGCTCTTATAATATTCTTCTTCGTACTTAGTAGCTTGCTTTCCTTTCTTCATCGCATGCGGTTTCGATACTAGTAGTTAGAAACAGAAGATATCAAAATGACAATTCCACTATGCACCAACATACCACATATCAACCTCCTAGTCTACTGCAATCCAGCTTGTATCTAATGGAACTCTATTCTAAACCCCGATCAAACACCTTAACCCCAAACTTCCACACCTGATCAATCACCAACTCGGACACAGACTGTCCCGCCACATCCTCCTCACTAATGACTACAAAATCAGCATCAGCGCCATCACGCAAGGACCCCTTGACATTCTCCATTCCCAAAATCGAAGCAGGTCTAGACGTGACAGCCTGTAACACACCCGGAATCGATCCACCCGTCCATTTCCGAAAATTGTTTATACACTGCGGGATAGTCACACAGCTAGATCGATCCATATGAATCAGCCAACCGTGTCCGCATCACGTCCGTGTCATTTTCCGTAACGGGATGGAGGTCAACTCACCTCCCTGCAATGATATCAGTACCCTCTAGCATAACTTTAATCCCCTTCTTCGTCAACCTTCTCGTCAACCAATCGACCGTCCCATCCTCGCCTCCCAATAGCATCAACGCATCAGTCACAAGCACCAATCCCTCCGGATGCGTCAAATGTGCCAGCCGAATACTAGCCGGGTGAACGTGATGACCATCAGCAATGATGCCAAAATAAGGCCGAGCGGGACGATGAGATATGGAATCACCCTCCTCGGGACCTTGGAGGATCTTCGTCTCGTTGTCGGGTTTTATATCTGTCGCTCCGCTGATGATGCCTAGTGGTCCTGGTTCGCGGTGGTGATGCGGGTTCATTTGGTTGTATAGGTGAGTTATCATTTTTGCTCCGGCTTTGATTCCTGCTGCGGCTTCGGGGTATGTTGCTGCCATGTGGCCGATGCTCATTACTATGCCTTTGTTGCTGAGTTGGGTGATTGTGGTCAGGGCTCCTGGTCGTTCGGGGGCCATTGTGATCATTCGTACGTGTGATGGGATTGTGCCGGGTATTTCAAGTTGTTCTTGGGGGTTGGTTGGTGGTGAAATTGTTTCGTTGAAAAGATTGCTGGCTCCGTATGTTTTTATTACGAGCTCTGGTTCGCTGCTTGGTCCTGAGGACTGGATTGCTTCGGGGAGGTGGACTCCCATGCGATTATGGGCGAAGAATGGACCTTCGCAGTGGGCGCCGAGCGATTCGGTTCCCTCGAAGGGATTGCGGGACTTGGATGGCCCTAGGAATGGGAGGTTCTGGGTTTGAGACAGCGTTAGATTTGAATACAGTAGGTAGTAGTATATATTGTAGGGCTTTAGGTTGTGCTGATGTGATTTTATGTACTCACCTGGTGGTATCGCTCGGCATGTTGACTGGTCATTGTAGGCAAGAAACTCGTTGTCCCTGTTTTGATCAGCTTCCGACGTGTTTCGGAGTATCGATCCTGGTAGGAAATTCCCCCTGCATCTTCGGATGCATCTTCAGAGAAATCGAAACCGTAGGCCCCGTTAATTTGCAGGTCTATAAAGCCTGGTGATAGGATACGACCCTGGAGATCTATCGTCGAGACCACCAGGGCGGGGTCAGGCGAATAAACGAAGATGCCTGCAACGCTGTCAACCCACAGCGATCGAGAGATGAGGGAGTCACCCTCGACAAGGCGTGCGTTGATAATTTGAATGATTTCAGACATTGTTGGTGGATAGGAAGAATTCATTGGAGAGCTCAGCTTATTATATTGTAACGATGCAGGCCCCCTTCCCCCGCACGAAATCGATGTGGCTCGTAGCATCGACGATTACCAATTTCAAAAGTCTGAGCAAAGCAAGAAACGAAGGTTATTTACACATGGAACGCTCTATTTATACCATTATGCACCGGAGGCTGAAAGGTGAATCACAAGAAACAGAAAAATGGAGAAAGGGGAACGAAGAAGGGAGAAATCCAACAGAAGGCGTAATTACTGCAACTGCACATAGTTGGCTAAAAGATAAGTTAGCGTTTGCACTTGGCCATCAAGGCTATTATATCAAACTTCACACTCACCTGGGAATTGACCTTCCCGGCCATCGATCTTGCCGCTCCACCATTCGTTTGTGTTGTCGGTCCGTTGAGTTATTTCGATCACGTCGCCAGCCGAAAACCCGAGGTCGCCGTGTGCTTGAGCCTCATAGTCATACAGAGCAGTTACTCGTTCGACAGGCTTGCTGAGGTGAGCAGGCTTTGCCCTTGGGGGAGGAGGAGCCGGCTTGCTCTTGGCCGCCGCAGAGAAGTTGCTCCCTGTTGGACTGGGGGTAGCGGCGGAGGAGTAGGGTGGAGGGGGGGTTTTCGTCGGCAGTTGAAGATGACCGGCCACGTCCAGCCTTGGCTTCAGCAGCCTTGAGCGAGCTCACTTTGGAACCCGAACGGCCAAGTCCCTTGGTCTTGAAGTGGACGATCATCAGAGCCTCTGCGCGTTCCTGGACATCGCCACGCTTCTGCTCAAAGGCCTCCTCGACGTCGAGTTTGAGGTTAAAGTATGCGATATTCATGCCTTGCATCTTATCGTGCAGGGTGTAGAAAACATTGAGCTGCATGTAGTAGAAGGACTGGAAGAGCGGGCGGATGAACTCGGCTTCGAGAGTGAACAGCTTGGGCAGCTCGTCCTTCAGCAAATCATTGTAATAGTTGAACTCCTGGGTGGCCTGTTCGACATCGTTCTCTGCCTTGTAGAGAGCCTTCTCGTCCTTGATATTCTTGTCCTTCTTCTCTTGCAGCTTTTTCAGCGAGGCGTTGTGGCGGTCAAAGTCGAGCTTTTTGTGGTCGCGTTTGACGGCCACCTTGCGGATCACCTTGATGACCTCGAGTAGTTGGTCGGCTGGGCTGATCACGCGACTCTCAATCATATCCAGCTCCGGGGACAGAGCTTCTTGTAGGTCGCGCACAATGGCCTCATAGTCCTCACAGGCCTGGATACCTTCGGGGTTCCCTTCGAATTGGTAAGAGTTGGGATCGGAGGCGCGACCGGAGATGGGTTTGTAGAGCTCGGCGATCGCTTGAGAGAATTCGATTTGGTGGCTCAGCATGCCTGGGAGGTAGTTCAGTTAGCTCTGGCATTCTCTCGGTCTCGGTCTCGCGGTGTGGGATCCCGCCTCAGAGAGAGCGGAACTCTCGGGAATAAGGAGATGATGGTGTACCGTTGATAGCGTCAAAGTATTTTTTAGATTCATCGTGAAGCTTCTTGGTTTCCTTCTCGAGCTCCTGGAAGCGACGCTCGGCATCACTATAGACGGCATCCTTGGATTGCTCGGCGAGGTTGAACTTGACTTTGAACTGCTGCGGGGCGCGCTTCAGACTCTTCTGGAAACCTTTGAAACTCATGGTGGAAGGGTTGAATGTGGAATTGAGGAGAGGTGAAGAAGAGAAGAGAGGAGAGGGAAGGAAAGGAACGGAAAGGCCAAGGCGGGGGGAGCACTGCCTAGAAATCCCACTGCCTTGAGAGCGCACCAAAAGATCGAGTTTGGCTATGACATAAGACTTCAGGCATACAACTCTGTGCAAGGAACTAGTGGCTGTGCCCTTTCAGCTGGTGCCCGCTTTGTGGCTCATCTGAGTTTGCTAGTGCGCAGCAGGCACTAGAGGTATTTTGGTTAGTATTTACCTATTTTCATTTAATGTCCATATTCTCAATTCTACTATTCTCTAGTACAGTGCTCCTAGTTCTAGGTACTAGGTACTAGTAGAGTATCACTATACCTGGGTAGTATCCGGTGCAGCCCTACCCGCCACAGTTGATCTGCAGCCCTGGAGTTCGACTCCGGATTTGGTGGGGCCGGAGTTAGTAGGGGATAGGGGGATGATACCCTACGCAGTTAACTGGAGGAGTATCGTATGATTACATGGGATGCATATATAGTAAGCTACCTATGTACCCTCTCGAATATTTCATATTTCACTTTTCACATTTTATATTCTACTATTCTACTATTCCATATTCAAGTTCTGTTTTATACCACTCGGATTCTATCCGGTATGGTACCTACAACCGACCAGGTTAGCCTACACTTCACGGAGATGAAGGGTTAGTATGGACAAATAACTTGAAAACTTCATACTTTGTTTCATTCACATTTCTTTTAATAAGCAGAGCCGACTGAATACTATTTGCTAGTATTAATAATCACCACTACTGTCTATAGTTCTCGGAGTACTAGTATCACGGGACTACCTTCTCTAACAGAAGGTAGCCATGGTTAGCAACTTGTATATTCTCCATTTCCACCTCTCATCTGAAATTGCTAGAGTGAAATATTAATCTCGGAAATTAATTGACATCACTAAAATACTCTATAGGCAATATCTATTCGGGAACTGCAGTATAGCTTACTGCTAGTGCCAGTGCTAACTGCTCACTGTTAACTCCTCGGAGAACTCTCTCCGCCCGCCCGATCGGGAAATTGCCGAATCTCTTCATTCCGCGCCGACGGTCCCTTCTTCTTCTCTTCCTTTTCATCTTTTATCCATCGATCATCATGTCTTCTGCTGCCCCCGCTGCCTGGAGACACGCTTCGCGCGTCTGTCAAAGGCGTCTGCCATCCCGCAACCCCTGGACTGGCCCCCGCCATATCCTCGCCACCGTTCGCGGCACTCGCTCTTATGTCACCGAAACCAAGCCCGGTCAAGCCCAGGTCAATGTCGATGCCGCCATCAAGGAGGAGCAAAAGTCCTTCATGAAGCAGGCTGGTATCGCCCCCCAGAATGTCGACTTGCCCGGCACCCCCATCTCCGCCGATGCCGCCATGAGCCCCTCCGCCGGAATCCTCAAGCAGGCCACTGTCATGGACCAGGGCACCCGCCCCATCTATCTCGACATGCAAGCAACCACACCGCTCGACCCCCGTGTTCTGGACGCCATGCTTCCCTACCTCACCGGTATCTACGGAAACCCGCACTCGCGCACCCACGCCTATGGATGGGAGTCGGAGAAGGCTGTCGAGGAGGCCCGCGAGCACCTCGCCAACCTGATCGGTGCCGACCCCAAGGAGATCATCTTCACCAGCGGCGCGACCGAGAGTAACAACATGAGCTTGAAGGGTGTGGCCCGCTTCTTTGGCCGTTCCGGCAAGAAGAAGCACATTATCACCACCCAGACCGAGCACAAGTGTGTCCTGGACAGCTGTCGACACTTGCAGGATGAGGGCTTTGATGTGACCTACCTCCCCGTACAGAACAACGGTCTGATTCGCATGGAGGATCTGGAGGCAGCTATGCGCCCCGATACCGCTATCGTCAGTGTCATGGCTGTCAACAACGAGATCGGCGTCATCCAGCCCATGGAGGAGATTGGTCGTCTGTGCCGCTCCAAGAAGGTCTTCTTCCACACTGACGCCGCTCAGGCCGTTGGCAAGATCCCTCTGGATGTGAACAAGCTGAACATTGACCTGATGTCTATCTCGAGTCACAAGATTTACGGCCCTAAGGGTATCGGTGCTTGCTACGTTCGCCGTCGCCCTCGTGTTCGTCTGGATCCCCTCATCACCGGTGGTGGCCAGGAGAGAGGTCTGCGCAGTGGAACTCTGGCCCCCCACCTGATTGTGGGTTTCGGAGAGGCATGCCGACTCGCCGCACAGGATATGGACGTAAGATACCCACTTTTGTTTTGTATTCGCGATATTCGCAAGACTCATACTAATCCACCTTCTTTTAGTACGACACCAAGCACGTTGAGCGTCTGTCGAAGCGTCTGTCGGAGAACCTGCTCTCTATGGAGCACACCACCCTGAACGGTGACCCCAAGGCCCACTACCCCGGCTGTGTGAACATCTCATTTGCCTATATTGAGGGCGAGTCTCTACTCATGGCCCTGAAGGACATTGCCCTGTCCTCGGGCAGTGCGTGTACCTCTGCTTCGCTCGAGCCCAGCTATGTCCTGCGTGCCCTGGGCAGCAGTGACGAGAGTGCTCACAGCAGTATCCGTTTCGGTATCGGTCGTTTCACCAGCGATGCGGAGATCGATTACGTGCTCAAGGCTGTGACGGAGCGCGTGCAGTTCCTGCGTGAGTTGAGCCCACTGTGGGAGTTGGTGCAGGAAGGCATTGACCTGAACACGATTGAGTGGAGCCAACACTGATCTGGATGTGGTCTTTTTCTCTGCATGTTTATTCCCTGGCAATAATCTTAGCTGGAGATACAAAAAATAATTCTCCGGGAACGGCGTTAAGTCTAGTGTAACAACAATTCGATGTACAGAATGCAAATACTCCCTTCATCAATTACTATTCAAAAATTTATTCTACAGTACCCCGAGTCTCCCCTTGTCCCGATAATACTAATAATACCCCGGGGCCTAGGACTAGGTAGCGGTGGTGGTGTACCACTAGTCGTATATCCCTTCGCAGTGTCATAGTCCAAACCCTCCAACAATCGATATATTGAAATCGAGAAGAGGAAATAAATAAATAACCCTTGAAGCAAATTCAAAAATTTCAATATCAAGTTATCTATGGATGGTAACCCTGAAATCACGTACATTCATGAATCGCGTATACATAAAATGCCACCCACGCCAAGACGCTGCGGGGAAGATGCGGAGGACACAACTTCACGACGGAGCTCTTACACCTCTCTAGCCCACCATGGCGGTCCCCCAGCGGACCCTCAGCTGGCTCTATTCAGTCTTGACCAAGGTTTGTCTCCCAGATGCACTCAATTTGATCGCCGCTATGCCCAGAACCCCGCTCACCTTCCCAGGATCACTATGACCCTAAGCAGACCTACCACGATCCCAACCGCACCTATCACGACATCGTCAATGCGCTAGCCCAATACCCTACGCTCTCGCCTCGAACCGATGTCTACAGTGAGTCTGTTCTTTTGATGGAATCGACCGAGAACTAGTATCTCTGACAATCTTCTTCCACCAGCTTATGAGAATGGCTTCTCGGCCCTGCTCCTCCATCTGGTAGGCACGCTGCCTGTCGTCTTCCGCGGCTCGACATATCGATTCCCCGTCACGCTTTGGATCCCGAATACCTACCCACGAGAGCCCCCGATCGTTTATGTCACGCCGACGCAGGAGATGACCGTCCGGGTTGGGCAACATGTTACGCTGGAGGGACGGGTGTATCACCACTACCTGGCGCATTGGGCCGAGGCATGGGATGTAAGTTACTGTTACTTACTCTGGAGTCTGCACCTTAATACTGACCGCATGATGCGATTATAGAGATCAACGACTGCCGATCTTCTCTCAATCCTCCGCGAAGTCTTCGCGAAGGAGCCTCCGGTCCGATATCGTCAGCAAATGGCCCCTCAGCCTCAACTGCAAGAGACACAAGCCCCGCCGCCATTACCACCATTGCCTCCTGGAATAGGACCATCTTCAACGACTAATCACCAGCCGACCCCAGCCCCTACGGTAAATACCCCGCCACAGCTACCACCAAAACCTGGGGCAGGGAATGAAACCCAACAGCGGCCGACACAGCTTTCAGACCGATATCAGTCCCCTCCACCTCTTCCTCCACTTCCACCAAAACCACATGAATCGGGTCGAGTTGCTCTGCCCGGACAAGCCCAGATGGCTAGCCCGGGAAATACAGCACACCACTTCGCTGGACAGCCTTCCATTTCACAAACCATGACCCAACCTCCTGTTCAATCACCACATAGTATCGCAACATATAACGGAAACAGCAGTGGCCCGATTAGTCCAGGAGGCCAATTCCCACCACCACAGCAACAGTTTCCCCATCAACTCCCACCAGCCCATGCTCAAGTACCACAAGCTCAGTACTCAGGATACAAACCTCATCCACCACGACATCCAGCACCACCTACCGGACCCCCATACCCCCAGCATTCTCCATACCCACAAGGCTACCAACACCCACCACCCTCCACAGCAGCGCCAAAGACAAAGCAACAAACGCCAGACCTTCTCACCTCACCATTCGAACTCGAACTCCCGTCCTTCGCGCCCGCAGGACCCGCACCCCCAATCCCGCCAAACCCAGAGAAAGATGCCCTCCTCCACGCCGTCTCCAAGACCCTCGCCGAGACCCTACACGCCCACGCCACACAGTCCGATACAGCGGCGCAATCTCTCGTCTCCCAGTCACGCTCACTCCACGCAGCAATGGCCACGCTCCAGGGCGAAGTCTCGAACCTCAATTCGCTTCACGCTTCTCTCCAGTCAAATACCGCCATTCTGCAACAATCCATTCACCGCGCCGATGCTACAATTGCTGATGCACAGGTTCGCTCCGCGTCTGCGTCTGCGGCCGTACCTGGCTCGTCAGTTGTGCCATCTGCCTCATCTGCGGCGGACCCGCAATCAGGTCTCCCGCCTATCGACGAGGTCCTGGTCGCTCCGACCGTTGTAGGCAAACAACTCTACGATCTCGTCGCAGAAGAGCAGGGACTGCAGCATGCATTGTATGCTCTGCAGGCGGCTCTTGTTCGCGGGGTGATTGGTGTAGACTCGTGGTCGAGACATACGCGTGGTTTGGCGCGTGAGGCGTTCCTTAAGCGTGCGCTTATTCGTAAGATTGGACTTGGGATGGGGTTGGAGGAGGCTTGATGAGATGTGATTGGAGATTTGTTTGGTAGATAGATACCCTCTTTTTACGATTGGTTTGGTTTTGCTTGATTGTTTTGGCTTTGGTCGTTACTACCTATGTACGTAGGTATTGATGGACGTGGTGGGTAGGACCAGTAGGGTTCGCCAAGATGTTCCATGTTTATGATGGTTTGTTTCATGTTGGAATTGATAGATCATATACATGCCCGATTACTTGCACACTTCAAGTTACAAGGTACTACCTACCATCCCGCCTGTCAGGTGTTCGAGAATACAGAAAAAATACAGTCATTCGATGGTCTTATTACTAAGAGTATTGTATTCTCAAATATGTAGTCACAGTAGCTGTATTGTCAAAAATATTGTTTTCTTAGAGATGCCATTAAATGACTGATATATTTATTCAAGTTAGGGCTGTATTTATGCCAAATTTAATATTAATTGATAGTTTACCTAGCCTAGGTACCTAGGTAGTTTGGATTTTGCTATAGTACTACCAGTATTCAAGTTTATTGACTCTAGGGTCTAAATTCCAGCTACGTAGTATTACATAGGTACCTAGAGGTATAACTATATATTATGTTGTCGGTCGGATGAATATCGGGGCCCTATCCCGACTCGGAGGTCGCTGCTGAGATTGGAAAACAGCAGAATGGATATATATACCATCTAATACTTACCTAGTATGTACCTAGGTAGGTACTACTTCCAGCTTCCTTCAATTTCAAAGCATGGGGTCGTGCGAGCCGTGGAGTCTGGAGGTACAATTTGGAGGTTCCGAGTCAACTTGAAGTTTAAATTTACTAGTGCTGATCCAGGGCTAGTAGTAGGTTTGGAAATTACGATATTTCAAGCGAGTTGGTCTGGAGATAATGTTTGTCAAGGTAAAGAATGTTGATTGATTCATCAAGGAGAGTTTGATGTGACTGCTCCGCCTCCGCGAGTGCCATCTCGCTATACAAAGCACTCGCGAATAACGAACCGACGCCGAAGGAATATACCACAGAGGAATCATAGATACAACGAAGTAGAAAGATGTGACAGAGGAGAAAAAAAAATAAAACAAGAAATCAAGCAATGTGTAAATCCGGTGCGCCCCACCGATGACCCCACGTAAGAGGGTAGCCGATCATTTAACCTCATTCGCGTCTGAGAACGGACTTTTCATGCGTGGTGGTGGTGTCCGACGTGGGCTAGCGCTTTCGGCTTCATCATGGAAGGGGCCGGCGCCCTTGGATGATTGCTCTTCGCTTGTGGTGGTCTTGGCTGCTGTGGAGTGGGAAGGGGATGAGGGGCGTGTGTCGTCTTCATCGGAAGATTCACCGTCGAATGTGGATGTTTGATGATCGAATTGTTGACTGCTATGGCCGGAAGCAGCTGTGCCGGGCTTTAATATCTCGGAGCTGGCAGCTGCGGAGCTTTGACCGTCCTTCTTCTTGACCGAGGCGCCGCGGACCATGACGGGCTTGGCAACGACCTGACGTGCGACAATCGAACTGTTGCCTTTCAAGGCTTCTGCCTTGGCCAATTGGGACTGGGTGATGGCGGGAACGGCGGGGGCATCCCTGGGGGTGATCATGACGGGAACAGGTTGTGTAGGAGCGCCGTCTTCATCGGGGGATGTGTTGTGAACACTGACAATGTTGGCGCGCGTGCGCGAGATCTGCTGGGCGGGAACAGCGCTGACAATAGCGTCATTGCGGTAGATCGTGGTTGCAACACTGCTCCGGAAGGTCGGGGCCATGCTCTGGTGGCCGGTGGTGGTGGTCCAGGAGGAGTCACGCAGGTCACCCGGCATGAAGAAGTGCTGGTCGGGAGCGGCACCAGGGAGCGGAGGAACCGGGGGCACCAACGAGGCTGGGGTCTCAGGCGGAGAACGGTTGGTAACACCGGGGATGTAGGCAATCTGGATGACGTTGGAGGCACGAGTGAGGACGGTGGATGCGATGGACTGCGTAGACTTGCGCTCTGCGCGAGCAGCGGCAAATTCACTGTTCTTTTCTTCGCCGTCCTGATTGCGGCGCTTGCGGATCACGAACCACCAGATGAGGAAGAGGAGAATAGCAATGGCCGCAACACCACCTACTACACCACCGGCGATTGCTCCGACATTGGGACCGCCGCCTGAGTCCGAGGGGGCGGAGGAAGTATTCCCGTTCGAGATACACTTGGTGACGGCGCAAGTATCGCAGGTTTGAGTGGTCATGGTACAGATCTGGCCGCTGGGACATGTTGGGCAAGTGGGGGCCTCGCCGCAGTCTTTACAGCCTCTGGCGCGTAAGAAGCCGGAATTGGCAGGGGAGAAGTCTGATGGTGATCGGATGGTTAGAAAGCGTGGATGGGGTCGATATGGAGATGGAAATGGAGATGGCAAGGGAGACGCCGCGATACGAGGGTGAAGTTGAGGTCGAGGTTGATCTTACCGAGGGACATGATGAAGACGAAAGAGGAGACGGGGAGAGATAGGCGAGAGGGGATATCAATGAGGGCGACCGGTCAACGGTGCGAAAGTGCGAGATGAAAGAGGGGAAAAGAATGTGGGAGGCTCGATCGGCGTCAAGTCGTGAGCGTCAACGCTGTCGTAATGGAAGTGGAGGGAGGTGAAATGAAGTAGATAAACAAGGGAGGAGTAACGAGTAAGGATTAACGAGTGTGGGAACCGATCACGGTCGAGCAATCATGGTTAGACGAGCCCGGGAGTCGAGAGTCGAAGGTCAAAAGTTGAAGGAGATCGGATTGAAACGAGATCGGGAGAAGGAGAAATGAAATGAGGTGGGAATGAGGAGAGCACGGGGGAGAGGCCCGAGCGTAGATATACTTAGTACAGAGTAGTAGTGTAGTAGAGTAGTACAGAGTGTATGTAAAGTAGAGTAGAGTAAAGTAAGTAAAATAGAATGTTCAAGTGCTACGAGTTTTATTTCAATCCTCTCTCCTTACTCTTCCCCTGCATCCCATATCCTGCATCCTGTATTCTGTATTCGTATGCACCTCTCCCCTTTGTGTACTCCTTTGTGTGCCTGGATGTACCTGGCAGTCACGTGGACGGTCTAGACTCGGATTATCCACGGCCCGGGAAATTACAGCTGATGTCAGCAGAAATGATACGGACACTATGGAAAATTACTAATCACACTCAGACACCCAGTACGGGGCACATCCGTACGGAGTACTCTGTAGAGAAATGATAGACAAAGACAGCCACAACAATGATCTGTCAGTGCACGCCACCACCCCTCCACTCCACTGCCAGTTCATCACTTCACCTCCCTGCTCCCGACGGAGTACTCCAGCCTCAGCCAGAACGATGGATCACCTCCTCCAAGCTTTAGCGGTGACTAGTGAGACAGCCAAACCGCCTGAGACATCGGGGCGCAGCCACCAGCCACCCTGAGCCCCACGGTTATGAAAACCCGACCAAGGGCAGACAAGGAATCAAAATGAAGGACTGGAAACCACTTTCAGCCCTAGAGGGCTTACAATTTATAGTTTCTACTGCACTGCGCTGCTCACTGCTCACCTCATCGCACTTACTGTACTCGGTACTCCGTACACCGCTGTTGATCGCTGGACTCCCCTTTGTACACCTGGCAGTGGGTAAGGCGTTCGGAGTACATATGGTGTACACCTAAGGAGTATAGAGTACTCTATATATACCAGGGTCAATTATTGCCTCACAGCCAAGCTGAGAGCGAGGCTGAGGATAAGTCGGGGTGGCCGGGGTTTTCTCCTAATTACTGTCAGGGTCGGTGCAGTGCAGTGCAGTGCAGTGCATACCAGTGGATGGAATGTGGGAATGATCAGATCATAACACGACTTCAATCGAATCAAACGAGGGCAAGCTCAGACTTGACTCGTTTCACGACAGTGGAGACACGCTGATTGGGTTCGGGTGGTAGCGTGTCCTCTCGAGCCATTCGGTCTACCAGAAGGGACCAGGGGATCCCAAGTCCCTGGTCCACTTGCCCCGTCCAGTAAGCAGAGTGGAGGATCTGGAGAAGCTGAGAAAAAAAATAGTCGAGTCGATCACGAGCCAAAATTAGCCAATTCAACGGTGGAGAGTACAAAGTAGGAGTACTCTGTCTGTACTCTGTCAGTATAGTATAGGTAGGATAGATGATACTATAGTATAACATCAGATAATATACTGTATAGCTATACCATGCTATACATCCCCTACTCTGACTCTCCCAGATTCTTCAGGGTCCGATCCCAAGTGTCAATGGTCCAATGATCGATCTTCCCCATGCCATCCACCCAATACTTAGGTATCAAGGTATCTTCACAGGGGGGAATGTACATGGTTGCATAGGGTCGGGAGAATTGACCAGCCATAATGATGCATTGTAGGGACTAGGTACTGTCCATTCATATCCAATAGCCTGTTATGATTGAAAGCTTTGATTATGTACAATAATATTTTATTTTTCATTATTTTGATTCCCACTAGGACCAAAAAAAAGGGGATTCTCCCACTAAGCCGCGACGGGGTTAGAAGATGACCTATTTTTGCTCAGCCTAAGCAATACGATCTTTGCTCTAGTCTCACTTTGTACTCCTTTTTTTCTTTTCTTCTCCTCTTTTTGACAACTCCCCCCCTTCTTCTTTCCCACTTGCCTTCACCCCTTTGAACCACACCTTTAGTGGCCCTGGTGGCTTTGAATCCTTCTCTCCCTCTTTTCTACCCCTACCTCCTCTTTCCTCTTTCAAACCCTTTGATCCCTTTCACCATCCATCCCGCGCATCATGGCCTACTCAGGCTCTGGCGCGCACTCGCCCAGCTACGATGAGAATCATCGTGCGCAGGACGTCCCGAATGCGCAGGTAGAAAAATCCCCGTCTTTTCTTGTTTTCCAAAAGGCCACTCGAGTACTTCTTTATTATCTCTTTCAGTGCTAATCTAGAGGCGCTGCAGTATGGACAAGACGACGATGCGGCGCGGGGTCTCCTGTCCCATCAACAGGGCCCCTTTGCGACTCCCTTTGACGACCCTCACTCACGCG